ATAATCTTATGTTTTCAGGGTAGGTAAAGTCTTGACTATAATATTTATTTCTGTCATCTTCATAATAGTATACTATTCTCGTTTTTTCTATTGCATTATATCTTTTATATCTATAAAAATCTAAATATAATGTTAGCTTTTGTTCATCTACATGTGGTGTTCTAACGTCATCTCCATAGTCATAATAGTATGGTGCTGGAGCTGGGTCAGGCAATGTCATATCTGCCATTTCATAAACTCTTAAATATTTCTTTTGTTCGTCTCCATAGAAGTTTAAGTAGCAGTTGTTGTCTAATGGAACTTTAACTTGTGTACCATCGTTCTTTTTATAGCTTACATACATTTCATTGTTATTTTTCGGAATGAGTTTATACCGTATACCATTTCTTAAGGACTGTACAAACTCCCATCTAAAATATTTGTTTTCTTCATTGACAGAAAAGTCACCAACAATAGTTTCAATATTTTTTGTTCCAACTAAACTTTGGTATATTTCATTGACATATGTTTTATCTGCTTTCTTTTCAAGGCTAACGTTTAAGTCTGTTATTTCAGAAGATGTATGTGTATGTCCAACGGCACTTTTCCTGTTTAAGGTTTCTTGTAAGTTTGTAATATTTGCAATGGTATGTGTATGTCCAACGTCACTTTTCCTGTTTAAGGTTTCTTGTAAGTCTGTTATTTCAGATATAGAATGTGTATGTCCAACGGCACTTTTACTGTTTAAGGTTTCTTGTAAGTTTGTAATATTTGCAATGGTATGTGTATGTCCAACGTCACTTTTCCTGTTTAAGGTTTCTTGTAAGTTTGTAATATTTGCAATGGTATGTGTATGTCCAACGGCACTTTTACTGTTTAAGGTTTCTTGTAAGTCTGTTATTTCAGATATAGAATGTGTATGTCCAACGGCACTTTTACTGTTTAAGGTTTCTTGTAAGTTTGTAATATTTGCAATGGTATGTGTATGTCCAACGGCACTTTTACTGTTTAAGGTTTCTTGTAAGTTTGTAATATTTGCAATGGTATGTGTATGTCCAACGGCACTTTTACTGTTTAAGGTTTCTTGTAAGTCTGTTATTTCAGATATAGAATGTGTATGAGTCTTTTTAGAATATTCGTTTTCAGCTCTCGTCACTTCACTTGACATTTTATTGTCAACATATGTTTTGTCTGCTAGTTCAGGATGAGTATGTTCTTTGTTGCATAAGCATTGTAGCTCTTTCTTCTTCTTTTGCTATTGCATCGTCTACATATTCTTTGTCAGCTTTGTTGTCAACATCTGTTTTCAAAGAAGTTCATTTATAGGTTTCTCGTTTAAAGTTCCTTTTGTTGGATTTATACAGACAGTATGGTTCTTATTGTCTTGAAACAGAAACTCATCTGTCATTGGGTTTAATGTCAGTTTTAAGTTTCCTTCTTTCAATGACTCAGATATCTTAGAATAGTTTGAAAAGTTTGTTGTGTTCTTATTTAGAGCTTGCATAATGAGTTGTCGGTTGTGTTGTATTTCTCTCATAGACGCTGTTTCATTTGACATTTTTATTCTAGATAAAATATGCTTCAATAGAAAAAGAAAATTCAAGAGTTGCTACAACTAAACCATTAGATGAACTTTTTACTAATGTCGGTCAAAAGTTTGAGACAGAGACCGTAAAGCATGAAGGCTATCGTTTTGACTACCCATTAAGATGGCTAAGAGACCCATCTGTCACAAAAGCTATTGGCTTTCGTAGAATGAAGTTTGTGTCTGTAGAAGATAAAAGTTTTCCATTTATTGTAAGGTTTCATATAGATTATATATCTGAAGGGAAACGAAAAATGTGGGAAGAAATTGAGCTAATACAAGTTGACCTTTCATCTTCTCTACAGACTGCGTTTAAAAAATATAGAAGATAAAATAAATTCATGTTATGCAAAATATGCTGATGAATATGCAAATACGAGAGCACACTTTATGTGAGAATTGTATATGACAAACAAAATTCACAAGTGTCATTTCAAATCTACGAAGACAATCCAAAGAAAGACGAACAAATATATACAGAATTCACTGCAATGTCATGGTATTATTTGCAAAGAATGTTAAATCAGAAAGTCGAACTTCCTTTAGCAAATATTTACAGTCGATATGCAAGAGATGAACCATATTTTATTTAAAGATGTTTTCGACCCAGCTGCTATTATTGTTCATGCTTCATTTTCTGGCGCCAAAACTCTTTCTTATGCTTGGCAAATGACTTTTACGAAAAACCTACAAGTTATACGAACCACCAAGTGGAAGTATTTCAGACTTTCAAGTATGGTTTACTACAGATGGAAGAAAAAGAATAATTCCATTATACCATGCGTTTTACTTAGAACTTAGTTTCATATACAACTACTATCGAACGGTAAAAATATAATTTTTTAATACGGTTGAGGTGTTGGATTTGGTTGCCAACTAGACTGTGGTGCAGGTTCAGGCTGTTGTATAACAGGAGCTTGTTCTTCTGGTTCAGGGTCTTTAGGTATAATACCAACAAACTGACCTACCTTTTACCAATATTTTTGACTCCGTTCCAAATTCCTCTTCCTACGGTTTTTATTCATTCCATATACCTCTTCCAACTCTTCTGAAGAAGTTTCCAATACTACTGAAGAAACCCATTTTACTATATGTAAAAATCTAATGTCCACCTAGTCTCTTACGTTTCCTGTTGAGTTCCATAGCATTCTTTAACTGGAGCTCATACATTCTGTTTCTCCTCTGGTAGAAACATATTCTGGGTCAACTCCTGTGTTCGCGTCATCTGCATAAAGTTGTTTATATCCCACTTCAGGGTTTGTATAAAACTCTTTCCATCTCATATTTGCATACCATGGTGGCAAACCTAACGCAGCGTCATTTGACATGGCAGTTTGCATTTGTACATCTGTTGGCACTTGACCATAGTTTGCCATTGCAGTTTGTATTCTAACTTCATTTGGAATATTCTCTGGGTTTGGTTGTCCAGGTTGCTGTGCATTCGCTAAGTTCTGTGCGTCCATTTAATATTAGATAAAAATATCTCTTACGAGTACATATGCTGAACATTTGCAGACATTGGTTCATCTTCATATTCTCTATATCTTTCTGCCACGTCAAATAAATAAATGACACAATGGAAAAACCTAAAACAAGTAGTCCTATTTCAAACCACATTTACTTACCATAAAATTTCTTATTGTGACACTTTCTCCAGTTTATAGGACCTCTCTCATATTCTATCTTGTCATATCTAAACTCATAGTCATGTATGTCCTCTAACCATCTCATAACGGTTTCCAAACCACTTTTATCGGATGTAAAGTAAAAGCATGGATGGTTATGTAAAACGTCTAAAGTTTCTAAAGAGTCTCTCAAAGTCCAGTCTACTTGGTATTGAAAATCCCATGTGTTATAGAACGGTGGGTCCACCATAAAGAAAACATTTTCCTTGTCTTTATATTTTTCATACAACTCTGTCCAATGACATCTCACAAACTCTATACCCTCAATATATTTTTCTATGTCCTCTTTGAAAACATTTGTATAGTTGAGATATAAAACTTTTGACATAAGTGTTTCAATGTCATGAACTCTTATAGAACCACTATATAATAGTCTAGCAGATATACTATCCCAGTCTATATATTCTGCTTTTTTCAAAACCTCTCTCACAATATTTTTCTTATCTAATGGTATACGTTCCATCTTACCTATAGGTATCTTTTCTTTTAACTCTTTCAATATTTTGTTAGTGTCTGGAATATGTTTGAGACGGTTCATATAGTTGTCGAAGTCATTGCATATAATCTTTGAGTCAGGAAATACAGTATGGCACAAATGGGATATATAGAAACTTCCACCGAACAAATCTACAAATGTTAGACCATTCGGTAGTTTCTTAAGTTCTCTCAATATAATATCTTTACATTTACTCTTATTTCCAAAGAACGGTAACGGAGGTTTTGTAAAATTCATTTATATATAATAATAAAAATGTTTTTTCCTGAAAAGTGACAGAAAAGTGACAAAACATGTACGAAGAAGTCTTGAAAATTCAAGAGGGTAGAAAAGAGGTTAGAAAAGAGGTTATATCTAACCTTCTACCCTAAACATTATTTTTGTCTGATTTTACGAAGAAGTCTTGACAAAACATGAAAACATATATAATTTGTGAAAAGCTCCTGGAAGACCCGTATATAAGAACTTCATTTATACTAAACATCTTCGGGGCTAGAGGGCACGAAGTGCCTGGAAGCCCCATTACCTTTTTTTTTTTTTTTTTTTTTCCATTTTGATTAGACCTATTTATAAATAGTAGGGGAATAATAAATTAACCCACTTATTTAGGATTTCCAATTAATTGGGAAAACCGTCACAATTGGAAAAACCGCCCGATTGGAATTTCTCTCAATCGGAAATTCCAAAATCTGTTTATAAAGTATAACGGTACCTTGTTGAAATGCGATTCAAAATTATTTATGTAGCAATAATTTTAGTTTTTAGTCATTAACAAAAAAGAAGACAAAAGGAAGAATAATTTGAAGAGGTAGATAGACTTTTGCAATATAAGTAGGACATTTATGATCTGAATAAATATAAATGATGTCAGTTTCTTTAAATTTGATTATATTTGAGAACTTTTGGAAGCATCTGTCTGGAACTTCTGTGAACCCTTCTGAAATAATGATTTCTATATAATTGGCATATTCTAGGCCATTTGGAAATGAAACTCTTTTGTCATTTATATAGTTTAATGTATAGCTTTCACCCAATTAACAAAGTTACATTGAAAAATATGGCAAAAAGATTCTCTCAAATTCCAACATCCCCAAAAACAACATTTTCATTGAGATGGAATAATGACAAACACCAATTTTCACAATTTTTTTTTCTAATTTAGTAAATTTGAGGATTTAAATACGATCGATTTTATCTTAATTGAGTTAAATGTGATTTGAGTTATTATTTTCATCATTATTTATAGAGCTAGCAAATGCATCATCTTGATCAAGGGAGTATAAATCTTCTCAGCAGCCAACAAGTCATTACAAGTGTTTTTGATGCTGTTAAGGAGCTTATTGAAAACTCTTTAGATGCTGGAGCTAAAACAATTAAAATTTTAATGGAAGATATTGGCTTAAGAAAGATCGAAGTCACAGATGATGGATCAGGAATTACTCCAAATGGAAGAGATGATGTTGCACTTCCTCATACTACTTCAAAAATTTCAACAATCGAAGATTTAAATAATGAATTATCTACTTTCGGTTTCAGAGGCGAAGCAATACATTCAATATGCTGTCTTGGCGATGTGTCCATTACAACTAGATGCAAAGGCGAAGATTCTGCTCTCACAATGGTGTTTAATCACGATGGAACAATCAAATCTCGCAAGAAATCTACGGCGAACGTTGGTACTACAGTATGCGTACAAAACCTTCTTGACGGACTTCCAGTTAGAATTCGAGATGAAAGAGCAAAATTCAATCCAGAAATATTGAAAGGATTACTCAGTCGGTACTATCTATCAGCCCCTCAAGTACGATTCATTGTTGACTGTCCGCCTCATTTTACCGTTACTCGTCCTCCATTAACCAATTTACAACAGGCAGTTTCGCTTGAATTCGGTGTAAACGTTTCCAGCCAACTTTCCAGTCGTAATTCTGAGACTTTTATCGGTGATGTTCGCGTAAAATTGCAAGCATTAGTTCCAGATCAGAAATCAGATTGGAAAACGGTTTCTACGAACAGAAATTCTGCCAGACAAATACTTATAGTCAATGGCCGTCCAGTTAGAAGCGCTGCCGTTGAAAAAGTCATAAATGAGAATTTTTGGAAAGTATTTGGCACAATTCCGAAGAGATTTCCAAGATTTGTTATATGTTTAGACTTTTTCCGTGACCAAAACATCACTTCCAGCCTCATAGATGTAAATAGAGATGCAGCCAAATATGGAATCGCTTTTTCTGAAGAACAATCAATTCTAAAGTTCATAGAAAAATCACTTAGCCTTGATACCAACCATGAAAAGGAAGTTTCCCAAAAAACTTCAACGATTTCGAAATGGCCTTCAAAATCTCCATCAATTTCGTTAGAAGATGAATCAACTCAGTACAACATTGAGAAATTCGGAACATACAAATGGAAACACATTAATTCCTTCGATGAATTCCCTCTGTTTTTCGTTGAAGGACAATCTGACAAACATATACTTGCTGTGAAGACAGAAGGACTATTTGAACAATGCGGAGTTGCAACCCCTGAAATAGCTCGCATTCCCCCTGAAGAATTAATTGTTATGTACTGGGATAAGATTATTGAGTTTGATAAAGTAAGTAAGAAGGTGGTACATGTTGCAGAAATTGTAGATGATAAGCAATAAATTGTTTTGTAATTAAATATTATATATTTATAAAATATTTTGAATGAAATATTTTTATTTTAGCAATTGAATCCATGTGCTGTATAGTGACTGACTCGGGTGGGAAAATGCTGTGAAATGTACCCCAATGTAAAAAAAATCTAGTTTTTTTAAAAGGAATAGAAATTGTTTTCACTTTTTGATATGATGATGGATTCTGTTTCTACTATTCATAAAATAGCATAAAATAGGAAGAGAAAGAGAAAAATTAAGATAGGAGAAGAGGAAAAGAAAAAAATAAATGACGACATTTTTCACATTGTAGGCTCATAACCTTAGATTATCATTGGCTGAAGGCAGCAATATTCCATAAGGATAAGCACTGCTGCATGGGACTCGATTTTTGGAGAATTATTATTGCATCAAGACCCTTCCACATATTTTAGTCTTTTCAATCAGGATCAACCGCAATATGTGCATTATACAAGTTATATTACACCATAAAAATTGATTTGATTTTCTGGAAAATCTGGCATTAACACTAAAGTCTGAATATCGGAGTTATTTGAGATATCTTGCATAATTAGAAATCGATCTAGTATATCCCTAAACTTTTTCTTTCTAATTTCCATTTTTACGTTTATTATTTTAATGAATTGATTTTTGGCTGTCTACGTTCAATTAGAATCGATGTGGCATCTCCAACGTTAGGTTATTCAATTAACGGAATTGAGAAGAATTCAAATATCTGAATTTGATTTCGAAATTGAAAAGAGTTATAAATCAAATTGAATATATCTCAAATTTAGAAAATAATAACTAATGATACTGTTCAAAATTATATAAAAATTATAAAATTTTATATCGCTCGTTTGACACTTTAACTTTAATATAATGCTTAGAAGTAATTCTCTTCCATACTTCTATTGATTTTTTATAAATATAACTGAATTGAAAAATCTTCAAAAAAACTAGTGAGATAAAATGTATATTCGTGTTATATTATTTTCTTTGTTTTATTACCGGATTTATCGTTCCTTTTTGAATATTTCTGAAATTCAAAAAATGTTTGAATTTCTCTTCTCCTTTTCCTGCTCCATATCGATTTCTGGAGTAGGTTACTATGAAGCAGATGTTACTAGTTCTGGAACATCCCTTGAATTTAATCTTCCTGCAGTTCCAGATGCAACGTATTACCTGGCTTTTTCCAAAAAAGATTACCAATTATCGCTTGATGGAGAATCTTCGAATCCATCAGATATTTACAGAATAGATAATTTGAAAGCAATTTATAAAGCTTCGATGTCTGATCAGACAAGATCAAAGTTACCATTCGGTATTTTCCTTGTTCCCACTTCATTTGATGCACTGGAATTTTGGATTCAACCAAATTCAACAGGAACCTATCAAATTCCCCAACTAACGAACAATTCCAAGAAAATTTATTTATGCATCTTGAATGATAACCCAATTAGCATCACAATTACTCAAGATTCTGATACAAACACTGTTTTATCCAGCAAAGATGGAAATCTTCCAAAATCCACTGAAACGACAATATCTGGGACAAATATAGTCACTTTGGAGTATTCATACATTGAAAAGTCGACTGTTGGTACTACATATACTTTAACAACGCAAGCTGTGGCTAACAATATGGATAAGCAATGTTATGATAAAAGGAAATCAAAAGTTAATTTTGACACTTTTTTGATTATTCCGTATTTTATATATAGATATTCAGTCTTAGATAGTTCACTTAAATATGGCTACAATTCCATTACTGTTAGTTCGAATACCTCATATTTAATTCCAAAGAATAAAATGATTATTTTTGTCCAATCATCAGTAGATGTTCAAGGATATATTAGTACAGAGCAATATGGACTTAGTATTCTTGGAAATACAAAAATTCAAGCTATTGATTTAGTATCAAATGGTGTTCTTTTATTCTCTGCAAATGGATCATCAGTGAAATGTGGATTTGTTATTTTCAACTATTCACAAACAGAAATTTGTAAGTATCCTACTATTTTTTCAGGAACAGGTAAATATTCACTTACGAATACTATTGGATCACATTGCATAATAACTGTTTTCTCAGAAGGTACACTTTCATTTGATTCTACCAACTATTTGCGTTCAACCGTCAACACTCTTGGAATCACATTAAAGGATAAAACGATATCGGAACCTTCACTGACTGTGATCTATTATGGAGAAACCTATAATGCAGATGATAGAAATACTGATTATACGATTGTTTTTGATTATAAAGGTGCTACTGGTGATCTTAACTATGTCATAGAATCGAGAAACTCGTATTATCAATTTTATAAAGTTTCAAGTCAAGGTAGTGAAAGCGTAAACGTTGGTGGCGTCGATTATGCAAAGAAGGTTTTAATTAAACCGAAGTATAAGTATCTTGCATTCTTAACTCTTATTCTTGTGATTGCCGCTGTAGTTTTTATCTATTATAGATTTTGCGCCAAAAAACCAAATAATCAAAATGACAATGAAGATCATTCAAGTGATTAGAAAGCGACATATTATTCACCTGATCAAGGACAATCAAATAATCAACCACCACCTTCTTATTATGCACAACAGCCTCCACCACAACAACCAGCACAACAAAATTATCAACAACGACCTAATTATGCACAGCAACCTCCACCACAAAATTATCAGCAACCTCCACCACAAAATTATCAGCAGCCTCCACCACAAAATTATCAGCAGCCTCCACCACAAAATTATCAGCAGCCAGGACAACAGTACTATCAGCAACCTCCTCCATACTATGGACAACCTCAAGGGCAACAGCCACCTTATTCAGGTGCTCCGCCACAGTGAGGTTAATTATTGTAATTATTCATTTTAGTCGGATTTTTTAATTAAATAAGTAATTTATAAGCATTGCATATATTTAAATAAGCTAATGAGTCAATTTCTGATTCGATAATTAAATTATTTTGAAATTCTTAAAATAATACATTAATCTATTGCATTCGAGTTATTTGCATCATTTTATGATAATTCATCCTTTAAAAGCTTAAAAAATAAGTGAAATTTCGAAAATTAATTTTTGAATTTGATTCGATTACATATAGGCATTACGAAAAGATAATTTACTGATAGTTATACATATTTCCATGCTTACCTTGATAGAATGCATTTTAAATTGTTATCATTAAATTATCCATTGAACATCAAGCCATATTCAGACTATATATAAGTGTGTGGTGGTGATTTTTTCTGGAAAATTCAATATCTAATGATTGAAATATTGAATTTGAGAATTTGATGTTTAGCCATATGACATTGATGTTAGTGCTATTGAAATAAATAATATTTGCAATCATATTGTTATCTATAAAAACTATTTTCCATTTTGAAAAATTAAATATAATTTTTTTTAATAAACATATAGAGAGATAATATTTCATTGCTCTTCATTTTGAGCCTCATGAATAATAAACGCCTTATACAAAATAATTGTTTCTAAGTGCATGTGCAAGCTAGGAACTGCGTATTTCAATTCTTTTTCAAAATCTCCGATGAATTCGGAAACAAAATTCGAATCTAGCTGGAAAGGATGGAAAATTTCACCAACTATTTTAGTTGTATTCTGATAATATTTTCCAAACATGTTGTGCATCATTGCGAAATATTCCTTTGAAATTACTGTTCCATTTTTGTTGACATCGAAATCTTGATTAAACAAAAATGAATGTAATTGAGGTAATATCTGCCATGGCATGAATCCTTCGATCTTTCTAGTCTTGTCTACAACTAAACTATTGACAAAATAATAAATCTTGTCAAAAACATGGTTGAGATCATAAAAAGTAACACAAAAATTAGACAAAAAGTCAATAAATGCTAAAAACAATTCATTTGAGATTAGCATGCTTTGTTGTGTCACACCCCAGAAGAATGAATCAAAGCATTGTTCAATATCTTCTATATTTGAATAATGGTAATCAAAACTCTTCACGAATTCAAACAAATTCGTTGCAACTGTCAAAATATTTGTAAAAGCTTGGTTTTGCCAATCTTGGTTCAAAAGAACATAGTTCTTCATTTTGTTTGTAGCCTGCATTTGCTTAAATAACTGTGTAAGGCTTCCAACAGCTCTACAAACTCCACAAAGCCACCAAAATCCGCCGCCTTCGTTCAAAAGAACTTCTAAAATAGGAACTGCTTGTTCTCCAAGGAAAGGAAGTATTGCAGAAACATTTCCTATTATGTAATCATCATCTGTGAAGTGGTTTAAACTCTCTGCAACGAAATTTTGGATTATTTCCAAAATCTGATTCGATTTTATTATCATTCTATAGGAAGAAATGAAGTTTATTACGTTCATTGTTGCCTGCCTTGGATCATTTGATGAATTAATCTGAGAAATCAATGAAGACAAGCATAATTCTAATGAATCATCGTGATCTTTTCCGAGATATATCAATAACTTGGCGGAAATGATAATTAAATCAGGATTTCCACTATTTATGAGTTGTTCAATAATTTGAGCATCTTCTATTGTCAATTTCGGCTTTTTGTAAATAAATATTTTCAATAATTTCAAAATAAAGTTTGTTAAAGCAAGAGGACAGTTTTCACTCATAATAAAGTTGAGTGATGCTTGAAATACAAACGAATGCTCTTTTGGATGTGTCAAAATTAAATCAAAATAACTCGAATACAAATTTAATTGAGAATTTTCAATTGGATTCTCTGGAGGATTGTAAAGGTGCATGAAATCGTCTGATATAGGTTCTGTTTCATCTGTAGCATTTCTTTGCTGTATAAAAGTTCGATATCTTCTAACAAATTGTAGAATTGTTGTTGCCAAAGCCAAATCTTCAGTTGGAGCATTCTGTATTTCATTTGTGAACTCAATATATCCTTGGTATGATAAATCTGTTTGAGATTGACAGCATTTTTCAATTAATGAAATTAAATGTCTTGCAACAACAGGCGGAGTGATGTAATAATTACTTTTGTTAAATTCATATAACTTTTTCAATGAAAATTGGCAAACTAATGCAGTAAATTGTTCAGGTTTTTTAGTTAAGGCAGAATTTAAAGTTTGGCATGAATAAATGACGTCTTCGTCTGATACTGATAATAAGTGATTAATTGATGCTTCAATAACTGTTTGATAAATTTCATTTTCTGGATTATAAATAATTGACAATAAGTAAAGGATTTTTGAATATTGTGTCATGATATTTGGATCTGAATTCTCTGAAATAACAACTTGACATAAATTTAATGAATCAATGATCTGATTTTTTTGTTCAATTGTAAAATTACTCATCAGCATAAGTCTTATGCATTCTAATGTTTGTGATGAAGTTTTTGGTGAACTCATGCCTAATCCTACTTGTCCAAAGATGTTTGAATCTGATATCCATGAATTATCAAAAGCAATCGAATAATATCCCAAAGCAATGAACGCTTGAGGATCAGAGTTAGCAATTCCGTTTAAAATGAATTGCTGGAAAAGTTCTGAAATCTTATTTTGAACAAGAGTATTGCGATAATTTATGAATAAATCTTTTAGAATAGGTGATGGATTTGCTAACGTATTTGACATTTCTGTGATGAATTGTAATGCTTGAGGTATAGTTGATTCGGAAAATATTGTTTCATTGTAGAGATTTTCCCATATTTCTGGATATACTCTAATTGAGAGTGCAATTTGTGCTTTAGTGTTGCATTCACGTAGTTTTGTTGACTGTTTCGAGCAATTTATTAAATTTTGATTAAAAAGTAAGTCTCTGATTAAATTTATGACTTCAATATTGGATATAAAAGTTTCCCAGTTATGTAATATCCAATATGAAAGGTTATTTAATATGATAATTTGTGCAGATTCACTTGAAAACGAATTGAAGTTCTGGATACACACGATAATGCTTTCAAAATTGCTGTTTACTTGATTTAAAGTCGAAAATATTGCAGTTTTTTCGATCGTCTGCGTTTGTTCGTTGATCTCGAAGAACCTTTCTGCACATTGATTAAAATCATCCATCCAAAATTGTACGTTTAAAGAATTTAGATATAAAACTTGAAATTGTTATAGAATTCATAAATCAGTATTTTGATTTAAATTGGCCAAATTTCAAATATTCCAAGAAATTGAATTAAAAACCAAGAATTTAATTAATATTTTTAATTTTTGTTGTTTGTACTGCCAATTTATTGCCTTATTTTTGAATTTTGAAATATCAAAATTTAAAAACGGTTTTAGTGCACGTTAAATAAGATGACTGAAGCACCGCCAGCAGAAGGCGCACCCCAAACTGATGTTTTCAGTCCAGGACAACTTGAAGAATTCAAAGAAGCATTCACCGTCTTCGATAAAGACGCTGATGGTAGAATTACACCGCAAGAAATGTGTGGATTACTTGGAGCAACAGGCTTTCAAGTTTCACAAGCGGAAGTTACAGATTATTGTTCACAGATTGATACAACAGGTGAGAATCTTTTCGATTATAATGTGTTTTTGAAAGTTGCCGAAAATTTCAATAACGGTAATAATACACAAGAAATTCTTAGTGCATGCATGAGAATTTTCTTCGGTGAATCTACAAAAATTAGTACAGATGAACTTAAGAGCGTTTTGACAACTCTCGGAAATCCTTTGACTCCTGATGAAATGAAGCACCTTATGTTTAATGTAAACCCAGAAAATGACGAAACTATTACTGTTGCCGACTTTGTTAATAAGATTGCTGGTGTAGAAGTTAAGGATGATGAAGATGATCAATAAACAAAATAATGTTTCTTTTTTTACCATTGGATACTTCATTTTTATTTGTTTTGCATTAAGTTTAATGTTTTAAATATATAACTTTTGCTAAAATTGAAATTTCTATCTAAATCTTATTGATAAAACAGAGCATCAATATCAAATTTTGCATTTTGTTAGATATATATGTTTATCATGTTGAAGTTTGTTAAGAATTTTTTTATTTCGATAGATGGATGATTTATATCAGTTACTAGGTGTTCCTAGAGATGCAGATTCAAAAACTATTAAGAAAGCATATCATAAACTAGCTATGGAATTGCATCCTGATAAAGTAAAAGACCAAACTCAAGAAGTTGAAATAAAATTTCAAAAAATTATAGAAGCTTATACAGTGCTGATTAATCCTTCAACACGTGCAGATTATGATGATAGTCTTAAAAGGAAAGAAGAAGAAAATCAACGTTTTAATTCAATGGATTCTGATCGAAAAAGAATGATTGAAAAACTAAATGCAATGGAAAATGAAAATAATAAGAAAAAGGCCGTTAATTTGGATATTTACCGAGCAGATTTAGAAAATGAAATTTCAAAATTCGAAGCAGCGCAACAAAACTCAATGTCATTTAATCAATTCGAAAATTTAGTAATACAAACCTTATTAAGAATGGGATAATTCACAAATCTAATCACGAATTTCATTTTACTTGAGCATTTTTGGATTTCTCTATTATAATATAGATTTACATATGTTTAGAAATTATTTTACCTTTAGATATCATTTCATAAAGCATCGAAATAATAAAAAGTCTATAAGCTTATAATAAAAGCTTTTGTAAGGCTCGTTAATGGTATAAAAGTGTGATATTACTCCAATGTTGTTACTGCAGCAATAAATAACTATCTATATTCGAAATTATTTCTTGATAAATTATATAAAAATGTAATTTAGCCTTCATAAAGGAAATTCAAATTGTTTTGCTCAAAATTATTTTTTTCAAAATGATTTAAACGTCAAAAAGAAATTTTTTATTAAAAAACAATAATATTAACAAAAAAATATATGAATTATTCGAAATTAATGTCTTTGTAGTTATTAGCTTTGAGCCAATCTCTGTATTGTTGACAATCAGAAAATTCATTTGGAACAAATTTGTCGCAATGAGGACATTTATGAGTTCTTAGTCCGTACTTTCTTCTGTGGCTCATAACAATGATACTCCAGACCTGCATTGGCGATAAATCAGCGGTTTTCGGAAATACAGCCCAAATAAAGTCCTGTGCTTGGTCAACAGCGTAATCTTTCATTACATCAGAGTTGATGTTTCTAATTACTCGAATATACATCTTCTTCCAGATTTTTGACATCGCTTTTGGCATTTCTGGTTTTACATTAGCCAAAACGAACTTCCAGAGCTTGGATGTAACAATAACAAAAGAGGTATGTGCGCTAGCGATGATTGTGTAGATTTGTTTGCTGCATTTACCTAATGATTCAAAAATTATGGAAATATGGGACTTTAAAGGGTCCATTCGTATATCAGTACGTATTATTTGCATGATTTCGTTAAAAGACTCTTGAATATTATCAAATTCTTCCAATAATTTTGCAACAGATTTCTTGTAAATCTTATTTCCTTTAGCAGCTGATTTAATTCCCTTTTGTAACTCTTTTGGACCTTTAACACCTTTCATATCTTTCATATTTTTCGTAAATTCTTTCAATGAATCGGATTCTTTGCGAGCTTGATTGACTTTTGATGAGAAATCAATTAGTTTAACAAATGATTCGCGTGTTAATGAGAATACATTGTTCTCAATCGCCATTTTAATCACGGAATAGATAGAACTGAAGAGATGATATGTTGTAAATGTAGAAAGGACCATATCTATCCAGTACAATACGTAATAAGCGGCTTCTGGTTGGATTCTACATTTTTTGAAAAGAGGAACTATGAATTTTGCCGTGTAATTGCCAACAAAATGAAGAACTGCTTTATGGAATGTTTTCACTTCGAGCTTCGAATGCTTGAAATCTTGTCGTCTAAAGATTTTGCTAAACAAACAGTAAAGAAATATAAAAAATGAGGTAATTATATTAGTGTAGAAGCCACCAAAGTAGTCAATGAACTTCAATATAGCCTTAATAACACGGTATATTGGTTTTGGACTTCTTTTAATGTTCCTATTGAAGATGATGAAGCGATCTTGAATGTTCATATAATCTTAAAAACGTGACAGTGATAGTTCTAAAAAATTTTGGCCGTTGCAATCAAAAAAAATTCAGAACTCAATTGGCTGCAAGTATTTCAAATTATATGTGATCCTCTTAAAAAATACTAAGCACGTCATGAGTAGTTCCAAATTCATCATAAATTTGGTTTTAAGTACAAAATTTAAAATTGAATAAACATTATAATGCGAATTATAGCTCAATGAATAAATAATATAAATACACTATCTTTGTTTGAGTACTTTATGCTAATGATAGTCTAAAATATTAGTTTATTCTTAAAATATAAAAATTATTACAGCTAAAAATGCAATATTAAAGTAATCTTGTTGTGAAAATTTGCATGATATTTTGCAGAGATGCTCTGCTAAACAGAATGGACTGAAACCAGGGAAATTATATTCGAAAAGAAATTTTGTTCCGAAGTTGAAAGAAATAATATCCCAAGCATTATTAATTTGGATTTCTCTTACAATTGGAACAATCAAACTATTGTCAGGGAAATTAATAGGAAATGCCTCGTATGTATCATTATGAACAACAACGAATGTCTTATTTTCGATGCAGAGCCCAATGCCTATTGTTTCATTACAAAGAAATGAATGTTTTAATGGAAGGCAATAATTATTATTAGCAATCTTTTCAGGAGATTCTCCAGTAAATTGCCACATAGCATCGTAGATATAATATTTTAGCTTATCTAGAGGAAATAATAAAATCTGGTAATTGTTAATCTGGAAGCCAAATGTAAATGTTTTTGTGCCTGAGTATCCTTTAACTTCAAAATATGGATTGCCTTTTCGAATAGGAGAAAAGTTAATTGAAATATTACTATATCCTGATATATTAACCTTGGAATTTTGTTCAATAAAATTGCCTAAATATGAAAAAGAAGCGTCACAATTCGGCATAGTATATTGATTCAAGAAAATATCAATGAAACGTGTTTATTTTCATAATGTTGACTCTGATGAAACAAGAGATTCTTGATATTGTTTTCGTTCTTCACGCCGATAAATGAATGAAAAAGTGCCAAAATATTTATGTCAGGGATTACTAGTGAACAAATTGCCAAAATGAAAGATATTATGAGCAAAGTCCAAAGCAGAGCTATATCCCAAATGTTTTCTCGCCCCGTTGATCCAGTTGCCGACAATTGTCCTGATTATCCAGAAATCGTAAAGACCCCAATGGATTTGGGAACTATCAATCAAAAGATAGATGAAAACAAATATAATTCCGTGAATGAATGGAAAAATGATGTTGATTTAGTCTGGAATAATTCGTTAGCTTACAATAAAAACAACCAAACTCTCGTAATGATAACAACAGAATTACAAGATTTATTTAACGAGCTTTCAATGTTTATTTCTGATGATCCTTATGGAGATTGGTGTTCCAAGCTTATTAATCTTCGCGAGCAGCTTAAAATGGCTACAAAATGTTTTGAAATAGGAGCATCATCGGGTAAATCTACCAAAGGACCAAACTCTAAATCTTCAACAAAAGCCAAGGAGAAAGTCGGTAAATCCGCTAAAAGTAAGAAGAAATTGCCAGTAAAGAAATTGAGTAAGGGTGTAATTACGAAATTAGTCAAACAAATCAATTCGATTACAGATGAAAATATTATTCTCGCTTTATACGAAGTTATTGAAGAAGAAGAATCGTACATGCAACTAACAGGAGATATCGTCGAATTTAATCCATCTACATTAAAGCCATCTACTTTGGTTGCTCTTAAAGCAAAATTAGATTCCTTATTACCACAAAGTCAAGCTTAATACTTTGTTATTTATTAAATATTTGTGTTTATAGATAAAACTATTTTATATTTCATGCACGGATATTTAATTATATTATAAAATTTGAAAGATCTCCGCAAAAATTAGTCATTATGGCTATAACTAATTTATAAATTATTAGATTTTGTAATATCTGTAACATAAAAAATTACACATTGATTTTGCTAAAAAATTTCTGACATATCAGGCCGAGTAGGATATTAAAAACGTCATAATTTCGAATTGTAATTATTTATTTAGAAGGTATTGAAGGTTGATCGGAAATTAAATTAGAAATTGGAATTTTTGGAAAAATGATAGTAGTTTTTTTATTTCTAACTATAACTTCGCATAAATAAGGATAATATAGATTTGAAAGAATGATTTCTGTCATTGATTTTGGACTCTGATTTCCATTCTTTTCGAATGTATTACCTAATTCAAAATGGCACTCATTTGCAGTGGCTGATCCTGAATAAATATTAAATAATTTAGTAGCTTTGTTTCCTTTGAAGAAACATTGTATTACTGAAAGTGTAGCCGAACTCTCGATACAGAAAATTCCGGCACCACTCGCCGAAACTTTGTTATCAATAACATTACATAGATAAAAATTGTGTGTATTAGCATGAAGTAAAAAACAAGATTTACTATATGATGAAAGATTCTTAAAATTACTATAATTTGTGATTGAAAGAGAAGAAGGTTCCCAAATAACAAATGCTGTATTCCAATCTAATTTTGAATCAGAAATATTTATAGATGAAAATTGAAAAGTTCCATAAGCATGATTCAGAGCGCCGTTAAATCCTGTGTTTTGGCTAATTGATGATTCTATTACAAAATTCATGTGGTTATTATCTTTTGTTGCTGATATGTATGAATGAGATCCTGAACATTGTGTAGATTGTGTCTTAGATTTATAACTACACACTTTGTATTGAACACATGAACCTGATTCTGAAACATACATGGATCCTCCACTTTTTGTAGAGGTAGAATTATAGAATGAAGAACTTGAAACAAGAACTTTTGTGTCAATGGATGGATTGGTGATTCGAATGATACCTTGTGGATTGAAGTTTTCAAAAAGAACATAATTGATAAAAACGTGTTTGTTTTCAGTGACATTTCGACTTGTAGTAACAAATGTATCAACAGATGCAGTATTATAGAATCTATTCCATATGTCATATGAAGGTCCTGAAAAATGAAATCCTTGTCCTCTTCCCCTGCTTCTGAGGTTTTCTCCTTCAAACAATAAATCATTTTCAATAGTTTACAATTTTTGTTCAAAGGAAATTTCGATGTCGCAAAGGAAAACTTTCATTATTACAGATCCTAATGATCCATTTTATGGTAGCTCTATTCCTATGCGCTTCGAAGAATTAGGTGCAAGAAGAAGAGCAGCTCTGCGACTTCTTCCAAACATTGAAGATCCAGAAAACAAATCTAAAATAGTTTTATCGCGATATAAAAGTTCTAGAAAGTACAAATTCGATGGAGACAAATGTACATTAGAAGGTGGCTATCGTTTGTGCCGTTCTTCGAGATCTTTCGATCAGCCAGGCAAATATTTCTGGGAATTTAGATTTACTAGTCGAGACTTAGAAGATGGGCATGTCAGAATGGGAATTGCAACAACAAATGCTGATATGGAAGCCCCTATTGGCGTAGATGCAGAAGGATATGCAGTTAGAGACTTAGGCGGAGCATTCCATTGTTCGAAACATCAAAAGCCAGAAGAATATGATCCAGGAGTTGTTCCATTTCAAGGATTTAACGTTGGAGATTTTGTTGGTTTTGGATTTACTTTAGGAACTACGCCAGAAACTACTACATTAGAAGTTTGGGTGAATGGTATGTACAGAGGAGTTATCTTTCGTAACATAGATCCTACGAAAAAATGGATTCCTTCTTTATCCATTTTCCATAACGCCTGGGTAGAAGCATTCTTTGAAGTTTTCAATTACGCGCCAGGGCCTGCATGGACTCCAGCAGCAAATATCCCAGATGAGCCACAAAAACAAAAATACACACTTTCGCAGATGTTAGATGTAATGAGAAACGGTACAGAAAGTCTACGTACAAAAGAAATGTTTGCTGCAACATTTGCAGTCTTAACTCCAATTCAAGATATGCCAATTTAATTTTCTCAAAAAAAATTGCATTATATTCATATATATTATATTTAGAATGTTTTATAAATAGATTGTTGATACTTAAATTTGAAAAAAACAAAAAATACAAATTATTTTTGAAAAATCTTCTGAATCAATAGGTTTTATGTCTTTGTCCAATCATAAAACATATGGTTTCTCAAGGTTTATGAGTTTTTCTGGTAATCAAACTAAATGATATATCAAATTGCATAAATTGCATATAACAATATGTTTATTTTCATCTATGGAATGTGCACAATTCAGTAATATCAGAAAAACTTGTAAACTTATTTAAATACTCCTTGAAAAATCAAATTAAGGATAATTTAATGTGAGCTATGCCCCCCGACTTAAGAACTAAATTTTAAAGTAATTTATAAATATTAAATATAAATAAAAATAAAATTTGAAAAAAAAATAGAAAGTTTAGGTGATTTTTTTTCGAATTTTATTTTTATTTTATTAAAATTCAACTTTAAAAACAAAGAATTTTCAACAATTAAGACGCTAGAAATGTATTATTAATCTAACAGAATTATTTTCAAACAAAATATCATATAAACACCTAGATTTTATCTTTTTGAAATCAATTTTTAGATACAGTTCATGAAATTCTATCACAGCACTAAATTTATTTAAATGCAACCACAAATGAATCATTTTTTTAAATTTCTTTGGTTTGTGGTCTCAGTCGGCCAAATAATAAACGTATTTTTTTATTTCAAGATGCGAATAAATTATGAAGAAGTTATGGCAATTTGTAAGGATTACATTGACACTTTTAATACACTGTACCGACTAAAGACCAACGATGAAAGCCAAATCAATAGAATTTACAATGATATCAAAAATAATTTGATTGAAACAAAAGCATTTTTGCCATCTAAGATTTTAGAAATAATCTCAGTTGCATCGATATTCAATAATAGGTTCTTGAAATCATATTGGACTATTTTCAAAAAGATATATGAAGAATATCAGCCAGCTCAAATTCCTTCTTTGGCAATCCATTTTGGTTACTTTTTTTACAAAGAGTATGGTATTGTTCTAGATCCTGTTAGTAATAATTACATGGATAGAGCCAAAATATTTCACAATATTTTACCAAATAAAACTAAACGCGAGAGGAAACAATGCGAAAACTTTAGATATAAATTCACAGGTATCACATTACATGATGCAGGAGCAAGATTCGCAGACATAAAATCTCAAGACCCGCAATTAGAGGTTCATGCAGAGCACACAATTTTCCGAGCAATAATGGATGATGATTTAGAATCATTCATTCCTTTTACAGAAAGAGATGAATTTGATAAAGATCAGAAGCTTAAAAGCTTTCTATATCCTAATTCATACTTAGGATTATCATTACTTGAAGTATGTTGCTACCACGGATCAGTTAATTGTTTCAAACTATTAAGAACAAAATTTAATTCAGAAATCTCTCAAATGTGTCTTCAATTATCATTTTTGGGAGGAAATCCAGACATCATCAGTGAATGCTTGAAAGTTAAGAGGCCTGATAAAGAATGCATTAAAAACGCCATTATTGCACACAATATAGATTTTGTTACTTTTTTGAGAGAAGAGCATTTCTCTCAAATTGATATAGATGATTGCGTGTTTTATAATAATCTTCAAGCATTTTTGGTTCATATGGATCTCACTCGTGATTTCAACAAAGATTTTGTTTACTCAGCTTGCTTCAACTATATACCACTTTGTGAGTATTTACTTGCACATGGCGGAAATCTTAAATTCCCTGATAAAGATGGATGGTCAATTCTTCATAAAGCAGCTTTTAATAATTGCAAAGAAGTTGTTGAATTTCTTATTTCACGTGGAATGGATGTCAATACAAAAGACTACAATAAATGCTCATCTATTCATTATGTATCAATCACTGATTATGTTGATATTATAGAAATGCTTATTTCTCATGGAGCAGAAATAGACTCCAAAGATTACGAAGGAAAGACTTCACTTTTTTATGCTGCTGTAAATAATAAACGAAAATTATCGAGGTCCTTCTTTCGCATGGTGCGAATATCAATTCAAGAGATAATTATAATTGCAGCGTTCTTCGTTATGCCATTTTCCATGTTAGCATTGATTCCGCTGAAGTTCTCATTTCACATGGAGCTGATGTCAAAGAAAAGGACGATCAAGGACAAACTTTCATTCACTATGCTGCAAATTCGCGCCAAATGGTAGATTTTCTGATTTCTCACGGTGTCGATCCTAATGCAGAAGATAATCATGGAAGAAAGGCATTGATTTCTAATAAACCTATATTAATTTATTAAATTATATTGTTTATTGAAATAACCTCTAATTTAGATTTTTTATTTTGGTACCCATATGACTTTAAAGCAATAACATAAACAAAATGAGGTTAACCGATAAACATAATACAAGAAATAAACGAATTGCATAAAAACACTGTTATTAAGTATCATCGGATTGCTTTACGTCACTGACTGCATATGGACACTCCAAAATAACTCGAGGGAGCCTTATTCTTTAAAATCCTCTTAAAACAATATTATCTTATGGATACATTCATCATAAAGCTTAAAGTGAGGAGCTTTCGTTTTATACACTTATAACGAAATTAAAATCAGTCATGACATCTTGATCTGCATTTTCATTTCTATTTTGATATATTTGTCACTTTTTGATATTTCGGTATCAATGTTCGGGCAAAAAAAGGCACCGCGCGATGATACTGAAACATTACCAAAAACTCGGAGGAGGATTCGCTGTTCAGTTTGCAAGCGACCCATCCAAGAAGAAAAATGTCTTCGCTGTACAAATTGCCCTCAATACTACACTTGTGTTGAATGCTTTTCAGATGGCCTTGTTGCCGAGAAACATTTGACAAGTCATCAGAATGTAGTAATGGATCCAGAGCCTTTAACAGGTTTAACTGATGATTGGAATTCAAATGAGGAACTGCTGTTGCTTTCAGGAATCCAAAAGTTCGGTATCGGCAATTGGCATGTCATATCAGATTATATTGGAACTAAATCTAGCATACAATGCGAATCTCATTACTTCGGAACGTTTATTGACTGTCCTACTGCCCCACTTCCAGATCCATTGATCCAAGAAGCAGTACCACTACCTCCTCCACCATCGTATCAGGTCAAAGATAAGAAATTGAAGTCGCTTCCATCAGATAGATCTCCTAAAAACAGAATCAGGCCAAATGACTACGCTACACCCGGAGAATATTGTGGATGGATGCCATACAGACATGAATTCGAGATAGAATACCATCATGATGCTGAAGAACTCGTATCAAACGTTGATTTCATGAATAACTGCGATACAATGGAACAATTCAAATCCAACTTAGCGAATCTTACAGCGTACAATGCTCAACTAGCAGAAAGAGTCCGTAGAACTAAGCTAATCGAAGAATGGGACCTTCATCACCTCGAAAAGAACGCAAAACAAGAACAAGATATCGATTCTCGATTCCTTGGTGGCGAAACACCATCAGAAAAAACAATTGACTCCTTATTACTCCCGTTTTCCCAATATTATCCGAAAGATCGACTTACTGCAGTGGCCAGGGCCCTTCATAACATCGATGCCATCAAGTCAACACTCGATAAACGCCTTGAATGGATCAGAATTGGCATTACTTCACCAGAAGATGGAGAATTATACGAACAACTGTCAAATTTAGTCAAAAACAACACAATTCCACCGGAAAATGTCGATAAATGGAACCAAATCATCAAAAATTACAACATTAAATGCATTACAAGCAGACCTCCGAATGAAGACTACATTGACGACCAAGAGAAGGATCTTTGTACTGCAAATAACATAGATAGATCATTGTTCATAGCTATAAAGGAATTGTTCGTGAGAGAAATCATATCTGGTGGACATTTAACAATTGAAAGGGCAATGGACATTTCACAGCAACCGGAAACTGTTGTGAAGCCAATATTGGAATATATGGAACATAACGGATGGAACTAATTATTGTTTGAATTTAATAAATATATTATTGTATATATACGTAAGAAAAACCATATTTTTCATTACAATCTTTCTCTATCCTAAGGTTGGATAGCAAAATTACCTAAATTTATTAAGAATAAGGAAAAATAATTTATAATTTCTCTTCTTTTTGTGTTTTTGACCTTGAAATAGATACATCCAAGATAAATGTATTAATGTAGAAATGCGTTTCTTCCCCCTAAAAACTTAATTCTTTCTATATCTTCATCTATAAAGAATCAGAAGCAATTTCATATATTCACATACACTGATATCGACTAAGGTACATATTGAGTATACTTACAATGAATGAAAATAAATCTATTGCAGTGAAAAATACTGATAATCACTCAAAAAATACTAAATATCATATTTCAAATAACGGGAAAAGCTTAATACAAGCACAACTATACTGTAAGATTGTTTTGAAAAATTGTTAATTAAAAGAAAGAATACATACATTTTATTATTAAAGCTTTGATAAAAGCTGTTGTAAAGATGATAAAAACGAGTTAGCCAAGGAAGAGTCTTTAAACTGTAGCAATGAAACTTGATAATTGCCTTCTGAATTTTGCAAAAGTATTTTAACAAAATTTTGGCCTTGTAACGAAGGGTTCATTTGTTTAAACAATCTACAATTTAAACAAACTTTGCCAAGTGTGTTTCTCATAACAATTCTGGAAAAATCTGAACATTCATTTAAATGCAATGTTCCTGTAAATCTTTGAGAATATCTGCCTTTTTCATTCTCATCCACAACGAATGCATATAATTTTGCTGTATTATTAAACAATATATTTTCATTTTCTTCGCTATTGTCTGTATTTTGTAGCTCAAATTCTTTTTCTTCGATAGGTATCGCTTCTTTTTCTTCACTTTCATTTATTTTCTCTTCTGCTATCTTTTTTGGTTGAATTTTTTGTGAAAAATTTATCGTTTCTTCAAATACTGTTATTGTACTTGATGTCTCGAATGTCATACCTGTACCAAATGTAAATTTTATCAAATTTTCTCGATTCTGTGAGAAACTTTGAATCAAAATATTTGTTGAAAGTTTCATTGGCGCAAGAACTGGTTTCAAAGATCCATGTGCTTTTATTCCAGATAATAAAGAACGCTGTTTCAGCTTAGCAATTGCCTCTTCGCTGAACAGCTTTGCACCAATCATTTATTCACTTCAACAAAAAAGGAATAATAAACATTACAAAAGAATTACATCGGGAGATATGACGCCAAATTCATTTGATAAGATGGATTGTTATTGGGATTGGTGACAAATGTAAACTATTGAAAGTCATATTTGTTTGAAGCGGAAAAAGAAAATCTTAAGAAGGGTGGAGAACAATATTTTCATTTTTCAGGACCTTCAAACGATACATGGAATAGATTCTATGATCCTGCAACTTATGACACACCCGTTACTACAAATCGCACAATCACTGAAAACAAATGTGTCTTTGTTGATTACGTTTTTTTCGAAAATTTTAGTCCAAAAGGTGTTATTCGAATCACTAATCCAACTGCAAATACAAAAGTTCTTTGTTCCACTTCTTCTTTTTTTAACTCTTCCTCTAAAGAAAATGGAGGATCCATATATCTTTCATCATCAGGATCATTTGTTCAATACAAAGTCTGTAGTTATGAATCTAAGACACATAACACTTCTCCTGGATCAGGATCTCATTCATATATTAAAGTGACAAATAATGATAACCACAAGAATTTTGTTATTCAATCATCATTCACTCAAAATACAGGACATGAATCAGTTTTATATCATTTTTATGGATCTCTTCTATTTTCATCAATAAATATCTCTGATTCAAAACTAGATTGGAATGCAGCATTTGTTAGTTTAGAACCATCTTCTCTTTCAACAACAAATTTTAGTAATTTCGATAATATTTCATCAATTTATCAATGTTGTTTTTATCATAGATCTAAAACACAAAATTTCTATTTTTGTAATTTTATTAATAACAATGTTTCAGAAAATGGTGCTGGAATTTTCTATCTCAGTTTTGGTGAAACTACACTTTCAGTAAATGAATGTTTCTTCAAAGGAAACAATGCTTCTAGGTTATTTTATTTAGAATTGGCAGAGAGTTCTGCAAATGAATGCCATTTTGAAGATAATACATTTCCAACAAATGAAAATTATATTCATAGTTCAAAGTTGACAGAACTCATTCTTCCTAATTTATATTCTTCATTTTTATGCGAAATTGAAATTAGAAATAAAAAAGATTCAATTCGCATTCCAAATATTCATATTTCTCTCATTTTTCTCAATTTTTGAGAGCCAAACACGAAAAATATGAAAACAAATCTGATTTATTTTCTGATAACTTTCATCCCCACCTAAAAACATGTACTAAATGTAAATTTTATAATATTTTCTTGACTTAGCATAAGGATTTGAATCAAAATATTTGTTGAAGAGAGGAATATTGACTACCCTTGATACATGCCAAATGATCACAAATTTTGTATATATAGCTCCCATGCATATTGAATTTTGTGATGAACCTTCAATTACTCCTAATTTATTATCTGATGAACCCTCAAATCCTCCGAAATAAAACAAATATCGAAGTTAATATACGTAAAGATTTAAATAACAAAAATAATTTTATTTAGGATTCCTCATCAGTTCTGCTTCAGTCTTGAAAATCGAAGCAGGAAGGATATCCTTATCAAGAAGAGTGATCAATATCTTCTCCGGAATATTCTTCAAAGGTAATACTTCTGATGCTAAATTATCTCCCCAGTTGAGATAATGACGACATTTATCACTGCCGCACAAACATTTGATTGCTTTGTCTGGACTTTCGTATGGTAACTTGTAATCATAGGTAATTTCAGTATTTGGCGGTATGTATTGGTTCGATATGATGACAACTGCTTTCCTTCCATTAGACATAGTGACTAATTCTGATCTGCAGTTCGGATCGCAGCTATGGTTGATAAATCGTGCAATTCCACCTCTTTGTGTTGCATCTAAGTAGTTTTGTGAGTCGAGTTTGAATATGTATGTCCCATGATTACCATGTTTCTCGTTGTAAACTTGTCTTTTGTCTGCAACAACTGGACGAATGATTTCACCAACGTATTCAGCAACAATTTGATTCTTGTCGATGGAACATGTACTTCGAACACCCCAGCCTTCGATTTCGCTCTTCTCAAACATAAGTGTATCGATCATTGTAGAAGAAAGATCTGACCACGTGTCAATGATGTCGTTTGGTCCTTTCATCATTTGACTGAAACCAACACGAAGTTGGTGGTTCTCTGATTTCATCATATTCGCTGCTAATGACTCTTGAACAACTTTTGAAGATTTTTGAATGAATTCTTTTCGTTTTGACTTGTCTAATAATTTTATTGGCTTCATGCGTGAGCATAATTTTGGATCACTTCTTAATACTGCTCTTCTTTTTCGTAAATTTTCTTTTGGTTTTGGAGTTTGTTGTGTTTTTATTGTGATATTATACTTTTCTTGTGAATCAGATAGCATACTTGGTGAACTTTCATCATCTGTCGAATGATTTGAATCTGTTGATAAACATTTTTTTGAAGATCGTAGATTTATTTGACTTTGTTCAGCAGAATCTTGCTGATTTTTGGCCAAATTAATCTGTTGATATCTGTTTAGCTCCTCAATTTGCCTTTGACGCCTAGTTTTCATCAAAGGAATTTGATCAGAGAATTAGAAAACGATCACTTTTATTGTTTCTGAGAAAATTGGCAGATTATTATCAATATTAATCAACTCGTGATATACACAACTTATTTAAATTTTCCAACCAAAAAAATTCTTACTTCGAAATACGAAATCTGAATGAACTAGTTCAAACCAGAATCATTCAACTTAGATATGGACAGTATTAGTAATGACTAGGTTATATCCTAATTAATTTGTGAAATGAATCATATATCAAAATAAGAATGAAAATGAAATCCAAATGTAGAAATAATTTGACTTTGGTACATATTGCAAACAAGAAGGCTATCAAAACAATCAATGTATAACCTAATAAGCTAGTAATTTGTTAAATTATTTGAGAATTTCGCTGTGTTTTCAAATATGTGAAGAATTTCCAGTACAAAGAAAGTCTCAGATTTACTATCTTTTGTGTTAATACATATGATCAAATATTATTTATTTTTTAAAAAACCTAAAAGAATAAAAAAGATTTTATAAAGCTACATTATCCCTACCGCTCAAGCAAGGTCCAGTCCATTTCGTTTCAAAGAAGTGGAAGTTACTCATCTGAATTTCTGGTTCTTTCTTTCCTTCAGCCTTTGATTTTGGCGGGACCTTCTCTGCAAGCCAAAGCGTTGTCTTTCCAAGTGTCTCCATGTTCATTGACTGGAGAATCTTTGGGAATGCGTCCATCATTGTTGTGATTGACACATCAGGCAAAACAGCGAGTTGGTCGAACCCCCTAACGATGATTGCTGCAACGAAATATGTCAACCAGTTGGCCGGATAAGGTGAACAGTTAAGTTGTAACCAAACAGACCAAATTTGTGGGAATGATCTCTTGAAAAGAAGAACGAAGTCTGAATAGCACCAAAGCAAGCCATTCAAGCCATTTCTTCTCATCCATATTGCTGCAAGCGGTGAAACTTTGTTCAAAATGTTGAAAACGCCGTCAGCTTGGAACTGACATTGTTCTGTCACGTTTGCGAGCAATTTTAAGTGGTCGGTGTTTCTGAGCATTGCATCGAAGCACCAGAAAATCTGAGGGAGGTACGGTTCGTGGTTAATAATGTTTCCATCGTTATCTACTGGGCATCCGTCCTGATTCCAGTTAGGAAGGAATGATAGAAGGATGGGGACAAAAAGATCATTCATGCCTTGAAGGTATCCGATTGGCGGATTGAAGATGCAATATGTCTTTAACAGCATGGTGACCATTTTAAGACCAGGAGCATCTTGGTTCTTGAAGGCGGCTAATTGACGATCTGTTCTACTGACATCGTGTTTGATAACTCTGAATGCGCCACTGAGTTTCTTGTTGTTCTCGATCTGCTGCTCTTTGTAGGATAATGCTTGTTCCATGAGGGACTTGAATTCGTCATTTAATTCTGCGGTAAGGGATTCGCGTTCTTGTTTTGTAGAATCGAGTGAAAATACACCGAAAACAAATGGTAATGCACGTGGAAGTACTTCAGGATCAATGCCTGAATCGAAAAGTCTCTTGCAAAATGAATCTCCATCTTTAAGCCTTCCGTTCTCATCAAAGAGGTCGTCAAACTCGGCGGCTGTAACTCTTGGATATGTTGGACGGGCTGCTGACTCGTCATCGATCTGTTTTAAGACACGATGATGAGCAGCTCGGGCTGCAGATGCAAGAGGGAACTGTGGGTCCTTAGGAAGTGTATCGCTTGAGTCGAGATGTGTAATAAGAGTCTGGAAGAAGCTGTGCAAGCAATCCCAGAATCTTGGTAATTCGATTGTGGCGTCAACGTTAAGCTGAATGTGTGGAGGTGTGTATGGATAAACGCCACGATGGCATCTGCGGTAGAATTCGAGTGAATATGGTTCGCCTGGTGAAGGAACAGCGATACCATAGATAATGAGTTGTTCAACTAATTCTGTCATTGAAATAAATTCAGTGTCTGTAAATGAAAATGTACGAACTCCTGGGAGATCAATACGAGAGATTGAAAGTGAAAGAGGTGAATGATGAAGTTGAAGTGTAGAAACTTGACTGCAATCAATTCTGAATTGCGCATTTTCGATCCATTTATCTTCCTTCGGAGCAGAGTTGGCTGACTGTGTGAGAAGGAAGTGCGCTGTTGTTGTGCCATCAGATGGTGTCCATTGAAGTTGGAAAATTTCTTCAAAACGGGAAAGAACCAGTGTGCCATCGACACCAAGCTTATCGCCTGAAATGTCTGTGGTTGGTTCTATAGTGCAAAGTTGAAATCTGCGCGCTGCACCTGGGCTCGCCATTGAATTTTTTTTTCGAAATTCACTGAAAAATTTTTGAAAAATTTTAAAAGTTTCCATTTTCTTGTTGTGGTCATACTCAATTCTTAATTTTCAGTAACCCAACAATTTAATCAGCAAAACTGATCCAAAAATTTGGACGAAACGTTATTTGTCTGGGGCTACCAGCGGTCTAGAAGGGCATAAATTATTATATAGGTTAATAGTTGCAAAATGGAGAAATGATTTCAATTCAATAACAATTTTATTTTAAAAATAAGTAGTAGGATAGGATGGGTTTTGTGACTTTTTTTGTTACATCTATATATAGACGATGCATTAAAATATATTTATTTATAAACCATTAAAAAAAATTAAAGTTATTTTTAAAAATAATTTATTTTTTTATTCTTACATAAATGACCCAACAAGTAAAACCAGATAAAATAGATTATCGAATTTTAGAGGATGGTGTTCCTGTTTATATTCAAAGATTTAAAGGGAAGCAATATTATAGAATTGTTAATCCTGAATACATAAAACATTTATTTAAAAAGGAAGACTGTGAATTATTAAACGCTAATGAATATGAAACCAATAAATCAAAATTGAAATATAAATATATTGGAAGTGATGAAAGGTGTAAAGATAAAGATAAAGTTTATTCAGTTTCATATAATGAATGGAAAACCAATAAGATAAGAAAACATTTAGGAGATTATGGGAAATGTTCTGAATTCTTTAAATCTAGTATATACGAGAGAGTAAAAGAAATTAGAAATAATTATTTTCATGAATGAAAGATTCACTACCATAATGAAATAAAAAATATATTTATTTATAAATCATTAAAAAAATTAACATTAATTTTAAAATAATTTATTTTATCTTTTATAAAAGAAGCTATATATATAGATGATGTCAGATATTCCGTGATTAATTAAACATTGTTTAAATCCTGAATGGAATCAATAATCATCCATGTAAAATTTTAGAACTCGGTAACGAAAAACTTCAGAAAAAATTAAACGAAAGACTATCAAAAGATAAAGTTGAAAGAGTAAATAAACTCGCTAAAGGTAATGGTAATGATGAAGAAGAATTTGATGAGTTCAACATTGAACTTTAAGAAACTAATGATTATTTGAATTTATGAAATCAATTATTTGATTCATTCTTTCTTCAATCTCTTCTATTCTTTTTGTTAAATCATCAATTTTCATTAATGAGGTGATTCTTGATTTGGGAATAGATTTCAAACTAACCACCCCCCCTTATTTTTGAAATTTTGAATCCATCAACTTTAAACATTTTATTCAATTTACATGTTGTCAATTCTTCAAATAATTTTTTATTATTAGCATAATAGTCATTAAATTCTTCAACAGATGAAAAAATTTTTATTTCAGTAATTGGTTTAACAACGTTTATTTTTTGTTGAACATTTTCACTTTCATTTATTTCTTCCTCCTCTGTTTCATTTATTTTTAAAATCGGTTTCATTTATCATTAAATAAAAATTAGAATATAAGTGATGAAATATATTTTTTTAATTAATGTTAAATCAGAAATGGCGGCAGGATTCTTTAAAAAATTATGGGATGGAATTAAGAAAGCTGCGGGTTGGGTTCATAAAAAGATTATTAAACCCATTGCAAACTTTTTGGCACCAGTAGCGAAAACGGCAGGAACTATCATAGGTGGAGTATTAGGTACTAAAGCAGGTAATCCGGCGATGGGAGCACAAGCAGGTAACGCAGTTGGTGGAATTGCTGAAGGAATACTTAATAAAATAGGAGGTAGATAGTGGAAAAATAAATTATTTTAAATTATTTTTATCTTAGTATCGGTTGTAGTCTTTGATAAACTTTTTCTCCTTTATTTAAAACTTCTCTTATTGGGGCAGCTTTGGTGTTATTGATTCAGCAACGTCACTAATTGTTCTTTATTCTTAAATATCCAATTTGCTCCCTTCTTCAATGTTTCCCAAACTTTACTTGCCCCTCTTTTTACTCTATCCCACAGTTTCTTCAATATACCTGCAGCCATAGTTGATTATTTCATTAAAATTAAAAATTCATTTTCATCTTTTAATTTTGATTTTTTATTTATTAATAAATGACGACTAACTATTTAGTGCCAAACACTAAACCGATTAATGGAAATGTGTTTCATTCATTCGAAAAGATAAATGAAATATTCGCAAAGAATGACGGTAGAAGATATTATAGAGAACTTGAAAGTTCATGCTATGACTCTGATACTCCATATTTTTGATGATAAACAAACTCATTTAAGAATTACAAACCCGGCTCATGATGTGAACCAATTAGGTGACACATATATTAAACGCAAAGTTAAAGCAACTCTAGTTTCAAATAAAGCTTTCACATGTGATGCCGCTTTTAAATGCATACGTTTATTCGTTGGTTACAAATCATCAAATCAAGCTTTAAACAATTAGAAGTAGAAACCGAAAGAGGTGATGCCGGTTATCTTCAGATGGATTGCGCCCGTGATCTTTTGCATTTGCAACATATAAACCAAAATCAGAAAGGAAAGTTAAAAAGTTTGTTCATTCGTTTATAATAATGTTCAAAAATATGATAACTCAGTATGTGGTAAATATATTGACCCTTCAGAAGTTTTCAAGAAGCAAATGAAGAAGTTGATGTCACTTTTGATATGATTATTCCGGTAAATGATTTGTTAGCATTTCAGGCGTTCGATGATTATCCTAAATCATTTGGTGAAATCATTCTTAAATATTATGTTTTCAGGGATACTTTAGTATTTTGTCAGGTTGACCCGTTAAGAGTTGCTGATTTACAAAATTACGTTTATGAAAAGATAAACTGATGAATTATGAAAAGATTATGATCATGTTTATAAATATGATCGCAAATTCCAACAAATCGGACTTCTGCCAAATTAATTACAAGCTTAGCCGCTACATCTGCTGAGGCAACAGTTGATAACGTTATTATTTCATGCACAAAGATGGAAGTTTTAGAGGATAAATGCATTACACAGATACGGTTTAATTGAAGAATCAGTTAAAGCAATACCACGTTTATTCAGTAAGGAAGATCCATTCATGATTCCAGCTCAACATATTGACGTTCGTTCACTAAATGGAGGTTGCATCACTCCTGAAGGTATCAGCTCAGATTTCTCATACGCTCTTCATAATGTTACAGATGTTGTGTTAACATTTCCGAAGAATGCAATGCAAAGAACAGTTTTAGAAAATCCAATGCTTCGAGGTCTTCAGGTCACTATAGATTCCAGAAACTTCCCCGATCAAGCGATGACCACAGTGGGTGACATATTCTTTACACGTATGCTTCAAGCTTCTGATTTAGATGGAGTGAATGAATGCACGGAAGAATACGAGGACTCATTAACTAGACCACTGAATGCAGATGATGGCACCATTAGCTAGAACATGGAAAGACCAAACTTCATTCTTATGCACTATTCCAGTTCAACGTGATGGAGCGGGTATATTCTTTGATGGATTAGAAACTTTCAACTCACAAGTTACAGTACAAGTGAAAGCTTATCCAATCATTCAGGGTGTAAATGACACTTACTGTTCAAAGTGACAAATCCTCCTCAGGTTTGGTTTACTAGGACTACATATTGGACATGGACACCGGATGAAGGTTTGAAATATCATCCAACAGGTACACCACCACAGTATAGAAGTTCATATGATGAAATATTGATGAATAGAAATGTTTAAAATTATAAAATTTATTTTTGATTAAATGGATTTAAATTCATCCACCCCTTATGAAGAATTAGCAGGAGTATATAATACATACGTAGATGATATGATTAATGAAGCATTGAGTGATAATAGAAATGCTCTATCTAAGGAAAAATTAATGAAAATTCCATATTCTGAATGTTACTTAAATTCAATCACTGCAGCAATTGGTAAACAAAATAAAGGTAAACATTAACGATATTAAAACAAATTATCATTATTGCTAAACTTCCCCCATTCACATGTGTTAATTTATATCAACCGTTCAGGTTCACCTTCAGATGATACATTTGAATCTTTAAAGCATTTAATCAAAATCCCAATTTATTTATTTATCACAAGAAGAAGCAGAAGATTATTTAAAAACTTTTTAATGTATAAAGAATTATATAATACAATCAAGAAGCAAGGATTAGAGGATAAAATTATTGATAAACAACGGGATGAATTATTTGAAACACTTTCTATTTCAAATTTTGATAGAGAATTTTTGCATTCACTCATTTTTCTAGATGATGCAGTGAAATCAAAACTAATAACAAATGAGAAATCATATTTTAATCAGTTATTAACTCAATGTCGACACATTCAGTGTTCATTCTTCATGGCTGTTCAATACTTCAAAGCATTAAGCACAAACATTAAATCAAATCTATCAACACTTTCATTTTCAGTGGGTTTAGTCGTCAACAGTTGAACGTTATGCTTTATCAAGTGAATTTACCAATGAGCATTAATGAACTTTACACAATATCAGCAATTAGGTGAACATGGAAAAATAATAGTTGATTTAAATAAAGGAAGTGTTAAATTTGATTAACTTTTTATAATTAATTTTATTTTTATTTATAATTAAACATGACAGAATGGTAAATCTTCTACAGTTCCATTAAAACAAGGAACAAACAAAAAGGGTGCATATAATAGAACTATGAAAGTTCCTGATGGAATGAAAGAATTAGTTCATATTGTTGCTGGTCTTCAAAAAGATGTTAAACAAATGAGAAACGTTTTAACATTACCAGAAGCTCAAGCATATGCCAAACGTCATGGTCCAAATTGGGAAGCACACGAAGCAGACATTACGGGTCCAAATGGAAAACCTGATGGTATAAATGAAGTTTTCGTTACTGATGGTCAAGGTAATATTAAAGTCATAAATGGTTATAAATTAACTATATCTGATTATCCTAAACGTAAAGCATATAATGAACGTTATCCTATGCAATTTGATGAAAATGGAAAAGCTGTTAAACAATACATTGGAGAAGGTGAAAATGGTCCAATTAATTCATACCGTCATAATCCATATTCTTATTTCAATGAAGAATTAAATGCTATTGAAGAGGGACCGGATGGATTACCACGATATTCTAACCAGTTTGATGGTCAATATGCAAATATTAGACCTGAAATTTCAGCTAAGAAATTCTTTAAAGTTGCTTTATTCGATCCAGTTTTCGCAAATGTTAAAGATGAACTTAAACAGCAATTCCAACCAATTATAGTAGCAAGAATTGCATCAGGTGCTTTATCTCAAGCATTCAAAGATTTAATTAAGAAACCATTATATCAGCAACGAGGTTTAACTTATGATTTAGTTAAGGAATCAGATAAAAGAAAATTTGAGAAATCAGATGATTATAAGAATGCAATTAATGAATATATTCGGTCTATTAATTTCGATGAAACAGCTAAAAATCAACTTCATGAACAAATACAGGGAATAATAGATTCAAAAGTTCCAGCAAAATAAAAGTTTAAATATATTTTTTTATTCGATTATAAATGAGAAGACGTTTCACTAGTCAAAAGAACACTAACGCAAAAGCAGAGATTACGGTTGGTTATAACGTAAATGATGATAAATCACGAATTATTCAAAATGTTAAAGTTAATGTTAGCCCTGAATTAACAAGGTCAGCAACTCAACCAAATTTATTAACTCGTGACTTACCGAAGAATGAGGAGAATGAAGAAAACCATGAGAATGGAGACCCAATCATTTTATCTGAACCCGGTAAAGAACCTGTTGAAATTCCCACTTATCCAACATACCCCCCCTCTTTCATCAAACATCGAGAACCCATATAAAATAGACATTAATTCTGAATTAATGAAAATTTACCGTGATATAATAATTAATAATTATGATTCAATAATAAATTTAATTGACCAATCCGGTTTAATTATTTTACCTTATGAATCATTAATTCACATTATCGCCATTCTTTGTGATGTTCAAGATTCAGACGTTAAGATTCAATTTTTCATAGATGATGAGGTTTCATGCTGCGGAACAGTTGCAAAAATAAATCCTATAAAGGATATTAGCACAATTAAGATATCAAAGAACGGAACAACAACTGAACTTCATTTAACATATAATGATATTTATAATAAAATAGTTGATGAATATAAAATATCACTTGAAAAATTCTTTGTTAAGGCTATTTAATATTCAAGCATTAACATTATCGAATAATAATCCTTTGAATCATAATCAATAATAATTGACCTTTCACCAGTTTCTATCGTTTGTTTTATTTCTTTTTGTTCCCCACTATCCGGATCGGTCATTGTAATTGTTTTTGTTATAGTATCAGCTTTATCTTTAACTTCAATCTTTTTTCCATCGGGATATTTAAACCAAAATTCCAAAAATTCGATATTGTCAATCTGTTCATATTTTAATCTATCAATTACATTTTTAATACCATCTGAAAATCTTATGAAATGGTCATTATATGGGTTTGATTGAACTAAATTTGAATGAAGTGAAATATAACCTGTTGATGAATATGACACTGACTCATATTTTCTGAAAACACTAAAATTTATAACATGAATGAATTTCTTATTCGTTGAATTTATGAATTCTTGAGGTAATCTTATTCTAGTTTTATTTATCACTGGAAAATAACGCTTTACCATATTTTTAATCGTAATAAAAATGTCAATTATCAATATTATTTCGAATAATAACTGTGAATTAAATTTAACAGTTAGCGGAATTTATAATGTTACTCTCGTTTCTGTGAGTGGTAAATTTAATCCCATTCTTTTAGACCCTTCAGATTATATATCATTTATTAAAGATGACCTTGAAAAAACGTATGATATGTATATAAATAATGTGATAGCGAAATGGGATATTAACATGATTTTAAGTTATTTAAATGAATCATTTATCGTATGGTATGAAGAAAATTTTAAATCAAAACCTGATAAACTTTTTGAACTTGATGAAATAAATAACCTTATTAAATTCCCGCTGAAAATTAAATTTTGTACTCCTCATCTTCGTTCATTGTTGGGGATATTAAATTTTGAAAAAGATGTTGGGGATGTTTTGTATTCTGACACTGGTTCCAATTTCATTTTAATCAAATGTGATAAAGTTAATACCCCAATGAGATTTTCACATCAAACATTAGACCCTAACTCTTACCCATCAATACAAAACATTTTATCCATCAACTTAAACACATTTTCTTTATCATATCCGTTTCAATTATCCGGGAATTCATTTATTCTTCATTCAAAAGATTTATCAAATATTAAATTTAGAATAACTGACCTATTTGATTGTGATTTAGAATTTATAAATGAAATATTATGGCAATTTCAAATAGAGAAAATAGCTGATGAGATAACGGATTAAATATTTATTTTTAAATCATAATAAATGATTAAACAACAGCAACCACAACAACTTATTACATACGCCATATATGCATATAATTCAAAGACGGCAGAACAAACGCAAAGGTTGAAATATGGAGATTTGGAGATAGTATTGAAAAATGACCATTTCGAATTCGTTTGCAAAGGCGGTGCAGTGATATCAAATATAAAAGAAATTTTATTTATGAATTCAAAAATTAAAGGAATAACGGATGATATAACATCAATTCCACCAGAAGAACAGAGATATTACGCATTAAATGCATTTCCTAAAGTTTTGAAGATTGGAAGATTTAATTTAAATGAGGAATTCATAGAAGGTTTCCTAAACGACATAATGAAGAAAGCAGATAAGGAATATGTGGATAGTGAGTTAATGAAGAAAGCAGATAAGGAATATGTGGATAGTGAATTAAATAAGAAGGTAGATAAGGAATATGTGGATAGTGAGTTAATGAAGAAAGCAAATTTGGTTTATGTGGATAGTGAGTTAATGAAGAAGGTGGATAAGGAATATGTGGATAGTGAATTAATGAAGAAGGCAAATTTGGTTTATGTTGATGAAAAAGATAATGAAATTAAAGAAAAGGTTGAATGGTATCATGAATGGACATCGGAGACTTTTAAAGTTAAAGCTGATACAGGATGGGTTTCAGGATGTTTAGACCTTAAAGCAGATAAAACTTATGTTAACGATGAGTTAGAGAAGAAGGCGGATAAGGAATGGACATCGGAGACTTTTAAAGTTAAAGCTGATACAGGATGGGTTTCAGGATGTTTAGACCTTAAAGCAGATAAAACTTATGTTAACGATGAGTTAGAGAAGAAGGCGGATAAGGAATGGACATCGGAGACTTTTAAAGTTAAAGCTGATACAGGATGGGTTTCAGGATGTTTAGACCTTAAAGCAGATAAAACTTATGTTAACGATGAGTTAGAGAAGAAGGCGGATAAGGAATGGACATCGGAGACTTTTAAAGTTAAAGCTGATACAGGATGGGTTTCAGGATGTTTAGACCTTAAAGCAGATAAAACTTATGTTGATGAAAATTATGCAAAGAAGTCGGAAGTAAATGATGTGATTACAAACATGAAAAATGAAATACTTCAAACATTATATCCTGTTGGTTTTATTTATACGTCAATGAATTCAACAAATCCAGCAACAGTTTTAGGTTTTGGTACGTGGAAGCAGATTGTAGATAAATTCTTATACTGTGCTAGATATTCAAAGCAAACAGGAGGTTCGAAGAAAATTAAAGAAGCAAACCTTCCACCGCACACTCATACAGGAACTACAAACTTTTCTGGCGACCATAGCCACTCATTAAGAGACCACCCATTATACAACTCAGACTATGAAGCTGGCAATGATGTTTTATCTCCAGCTTATAACGATTCAACAAAAAAGACTTTTCGACAAACTGAACCAGGAGGAAATCATGTCCATACTTTCACAACAAATCCAACAGGCTTGGGTAAAGATTACATGCCACCATTTGTGACTATATTCGCATGGTATAGAGTTCAATGAATGAACTAAATATATTTTATGTCTGTAATTAATTAGGTAATGAAGTAATAGATGAACTGCAGAAAAGAAGTTAAAAGTTTGGGGTCGTTTTGTACAAAAATATTGTGAGTAAATGAACCATTTATTTTTGTCATAAACGACCAAAAATATATTTTATCGTTAATGGTTTTTAGGTTATTCAATAATTAATTATTTTTGAATAACTGAAGGTGTCACTACGTCACCATGTGTCACTCGGTTAATTAACTTCTCTTAAAAAATGAGACAACATGACATTTTGACAACAGTCCTGGAAATAAATTTTATCGTTTATGTTTACGTTAATGGTTTTTAGGTTATTCAATAATTAATTATTTTTGAATAACTGAAGGTGTCACTACGTCACCATGTGTCACTCGGTTAATTAACTTCTCTTAAAAAGTGTGACAACATGACATTTTGACAACAGTCCTGGAAATTTGATGCAGTCCAAAAATAAAGTTAGATTTAAAATTATTTTTATTTTTTTATTCCTATATAAATGACAGCAACAAACAACAACAGCAACTATATCGTTTCTGATGAAAAAGTTATTGATTCATTAGCTGAGGAATTAGTTGTGGCAGAAACTAAAACCCTCAACGAAAGAATTGGTGAAAACAAGATTGATTTACATAACTACCTCAAACATGATGGAGGAAGAGGAAGGAAAACTGGTACAGCTTTATTAGTAAATAAAATTTCAAATTTAACGATTATAGATGTTGATATCAATAAATCGTACAATGATGAACTTAAAGAAACAGTTAGAAAAGATATTTTATCAAAACTTTCGGATAAAGATGTTATTGTTAAAACCGCTTCAGGAGGTCTTCACATTTATTGTAACGCTAATTTCTTCTATGCAGTTTCGAACAGAATGATTAAATGTTATTCCTGCAATGATTATGATATCGATATCATGACTTCTATTGATGATTCAAAGCGTTCATTAGTGGTTATGGCTGATTCAAGAGTTCGCAAGAATGCAACAGAACCAATAAAAACATACCCATTCATTCGTGGAAGTTATGACTCGACCATAACTAGAACAGTGAATGATATATTAAATGATTTGAATATTAAGGTAAGAGTTGAACAAAAGAATGAAGAAATAAAGACTATCATGAATGAAAACAAAGATGTAAACATTGACGATAAACTTGCCCGGAGCATAGTTGATGGCATCAGTGATTTTGAAGTTAAGTCATAATGACGTGGAAACATGAATTTAGAAAAAGAAGTTACATTATTCACACTGTTTCAAGCAATTAATTCGTTACCTAATCATTTAATTAATGAAGCATACGATAACTTTATAACTTCTGCAATTTAACTGAAAATGCTAAAAGTAATTTTGAAAAAGCACGTAGTAGATATGCACATTTAATGACTTCTCCATTTGTTTTAGTGAAGATTCTAAAACTATATCAAAAGGAATATTATGATGAATATGTTTACCTTTATTACGTAAGCCAAAAATAACATTTGATATAAAACTTGATGACTCGTTTTTGATAACAGATATTAGACGCAAGGCTGAAAATCATCAGTATAAAAACAGTTCTGAAGTAATTGAGGATTTATCACGTGTAATCCGTTTTGTAGATTGTGGAAACAAATATTTCATTCAAAAGGACTATAATATCCACGACAAAATGAATCAAATATCATTCGTTCTTCCAAACATGAAAGAGTCACTCAAAATGATTAAATTATTTAAAGAAGAAGGTAAAACCATAACAGCATGGGACGTACTATTAAATCAATTATCTTCATTAACCGTTAAGGGGTTTGCTTTAAATCTGATTCCCCAGATGTTTCTCAACGTTTCAGGGTTATAAATACAACATTCTCGAAAAGCTTGATTACTCAAAAATTGAGATGTTTATGAATTCATTAAAGAAGCATTTGTGATAATAACGATGAAGTGTATAAATACCTTCTCGGCTGGATTGCATCAATGATTCAACATCCTGGAATCAAGAATGAAACAGCAATTATTTTGAAAGGACTTCAGGGAACAGGTAAAAACAGATTTACAGACATTATTTCTGAACTTCTCGCCGGTTATTCATGTAAAAACATTACCGAAATAGGTGAGCTAACGGGTAATTTCAATTCGGTGGTTGAGAATAAAATGTTTCTTGTACTTAATGAACTCAAGAATGTAGGTGAAGACAGACTCGCAAACTTCAAGCTTTGAAATCAATTATTACGGATAATGAGATTAGAATTAATGAAAAGAATCAACCCAGAAGAACTGCTCAGAATGTTGCAAACTTCATTTTGGTAACTAATAACGTTTACCCTGTCAAAATTGAAGTTGGAGACAGAAGATACGTAGTTTTAAGAGTTAATGGTAAATTCAAGGGTCAATTTGATTACTTCAAGAATTTAATGGATTCATGCCAAAGGAATTTTATGATATTTACTAACATATTTTATGCAATATGACCTTTCATCATTTAACGTACGAATCATACCGATGACTGAAGCCAAACAAGATTTAATTGAATTATCAACAAATCCTTTAGATGTATGGATAAATACACATTATGATGAATTGTGTGCAGGTATGACGTGTTAAAAATGCTCTATTCTGCAAACCATCAGACATGAAACAAGAATTTCAAATGAGCATTAAAGATAAATGTGATAAGAAACAGAGAAGAATAGATGGTAAACAAACATGGTGTTATGTTTTGAAAGAAGAAATGAAAGGATTATATAAACAGGTTGAACAAAACGATAATGAGATTATTTACTGACGATGAAACCTGTAAATGAAGCTTTATAAAGTATGATTGAATTTATTTTTGCATTAATCCTGCTGTGTTGTCAAAATGTCATGTTGTCTCATTTTTTAAGAGAAGTTAATTAACCGAGTGACACATGGTGACGTAGTGACACCTTCAGTTATTCAAAATAATTAATTATTGAATAACCTAAAAACCATTAACGATAAAATAACTGATAACAAAATTTTATTTTATATAAATGGATACCCCACAAGCTCAAAATTTACCACGAAATAACAAGGGAGGAAATGATAAAAATGATGCAAGAACTAATTAAAAACAACAAACCACGAAAACCGAGAAGATGGGTTATGCAGTAATGATGGAAAGAAGATGAGGAATAAAAATTAAATTTGGATAGAGTTTAAAAATTCATCTTTATTAAATTCATCTCTTCCAATCAATTTATTTATTCTATTAAATTCTTTTATTTTGCTTCACTCAGTTTTAAGGATTAAACGGTAAGTTCTAATTTTTTCGATTATTTCTTTCCTCTCTTTATCGTTTTCGGCCCCACCGCATGCGGCTTCTTTTTGTAATAGCATATTTTGATTTAATTCTGTTTAGTTTCTTTTTATATCATCGTCTGGACTCTGAATCTTAATTGAATCAGGACTCTTGATGCTTTGTTGTCACTCATTTCTTACGAAATAAAAAATTAAATATTATTTAAATATAATGGAGTAATAAATAAATCGGAATTTCTATTAATTTATTGTCAACTTCAACTAATGCATTGCCGTTAATATATCTAACAAATTCAGCTATTGTGTCAAATCTTCGTCTTCTTTTTGTCATTGATTTATCAGTTTTTCCATAATCGAGATGAATCAAAACTTTATCCCCTTGTTTAAAATTCATGAGCCCGAATTAATTTGTTCACGTTTAACATCATTTACCTTTCCATTTGTTTTCTAATATATCCCCATTCTTTTGAAATATCATTTTTCATTTCCACTGGTTTCATGTTTATAGTTCTATGCCATGTATTATTGTAATAATATACTAACTGCTGTATGATGGAGTCATGATTTCCATCCCAGTATATTGACGTTAACTCCTAACGCATCTCTAAGAGTTCTCATTACGCATCAACTATTTTATTATGAACGTATATGGAGAGGATGAAAGTAAAAATTAATTTGTGGGAAATAATGAAGCCATAGCTGCCTGAAATCCTTTATCACATCACCCTTATATTATCTACTCTTTCATGATCTAGTAAGTATTGTATAGCTCTTCTTGTTTCCTGTTCTGTTTTCCCTTTCACCGAATGCAATTAAATATCTAGTGTTAATGTTAATGGCAAATAAATAAGTAACGTTTCCTTTTGAATATTCTAAATGATCGATTTCGTATGAATATGGATATGGAGCAAATGAAGGGCGACTAAATTTTTCCTTTAACGGTTGAATTTTCGGGTCAATTGGTTTATTTAATATCTTGAAATCCTTTTTAAAATCTTTTTGCTTCTTTATGTTTGAAATGGATATAATAAAGTGAATGATGAGGATTAACTGAAGGAGGAGGTACTACCGTTGGAGTTTTGGTGTTGTAAGTGGTTTAATTTTATCTGCTTTGATTTTGGATGATGAAGTTTTGGATTTCATTCCTCCTTCATTAATTCTGGATGTATTCTATTCATTTGTTTTAAATATGCTGTATATAAAGGTTTGATATACTTTCCCGCTTCGAGTTTATGTTGAAGGATGAATTCCAAAAGTTGATCTTCATTTAAAAGTCGGGCTGAATATGGTTTAACTAATGAATCATAAATTAAAGCTTGTGCATCATTTATGGTCTGAAGGACCTGGGCGTTTTGCACCTTTAGCTGTTTGAACATTTGCTACTTTCTCTTTTGGTGTTGTTTCGGCTTTTCTTCTTTGGCTTTTGTTCCTTTGGCTTTTGCGGCTCAGGATTATATAATTTATATAATTCATCAATATCTTCTTCTGTTAATACTTTATTTTTGAAATCTTTCAACTGTTTAAGTCGTGATTTATTTTTCCCTTTGTATATTCATTATTTTAATTTTGTCTTTAATTTCAGAAATTTTTATCATGATATTTCAAAATTTCATTTTATAATACGGATAATAATAATCCATATCATCACCCGTTATATTGTTATTATGTTTTGGAGATATGATTTAATTCATAATAATTAAGAAATTTTGATAACGTACTAAATCATCAATTAAAATTTCTAAATCTGCGTTATCCATTTATATAAAAATAAATGTTTTAAGGGTGCCCACCTCTTTGAATCATAGTATCAAAACCATTATTTACATATTGAATCACATCATTAACGGTTCTTTTTGTCTCTTCTGTGGCATTTTATTAAAAATAAAATTTTAAATTCATGACTCAACCCTACGTTTTTAAATTGTATTAAAATAAAGGGCATACAACATCATTTTCACAACATACAGCCTTAGTGTGTGCGCCTGTTAATGCAGTCTTACCGATTGTTAAGCGAGTCATTGACCCGTTTTTAAGTTGTAAATTAATATTCTGACCATCAAATATCACTTTATCATTTATTATATCCAAATAATTTTTAGGTGTTAATTGTTTATTTTGTCGTAAACTAACACCTTTCATTTTTTGTGCAATCTTTTTAAAATCACTTCCATCAATTGAACCGTTGAATGATGTATAACACTTGGGGCATAAAGCAACCATGTTATCACCTTGTTTCTCAATTGCTAAACCCAATAATTTTTTCTCATGTGCTTTTTCTTCAGCTTTATTCTTTAATTTAGGTTTAAATTTCTCATCAAAACAGAAGAAATCAAATGGTGCGAATTTGAAAATGTTTTTATCATAAAATTGTTTATCGGTAACAATTGCTTGAAATGCTTGAGTGTTAGGAAGATTTGGATCGCCAGCGATTGCCCAATAAGATGAATCAGTATCACCTTCAATGAAATGAAAACGATTAACATCCATGCATTTATACATAAAATCATAAATGAAAACTAAATACCAGTATTTTGCGTTATCTAAAGTAAAAAATGCCTCTTGTAAACATGTATCATATCTATAAAATCTATCTTTGAGCATCACTTGATACGTATCCTCACCTATTTCTCTTATGTTTTTAAACTTATTTGACATACATGCAACGCGTGCCTTCGGTGCATTCATTATTTTAGTCTTTGCGTAATTTTGTATATTCATTGCATCGTAACCATATGATCCATTAAGTGAAATCTTGCAAAATAAACTTTTTCCTTTATTTCCTTCTAATTCAGCCTTTTGTCTTTCGTTCATAAATTCGTTCGCAAATTCATTAAAACAAGTGTTTTTAGTAAATGTTAAAATTGATTGAATATCATCGATGATAAAATGAAATCTGTCTATTAGATACCAAAGATAATAAGAAGAAAATGGTTGATATTGGTTGTGTGTTGATGCTAACTGAGTTAATTTCCTCTGTTTCTGGTCAACTGGTAGATTGTTTGATTTCATGTAATTATACATAAAACAGCCAATTGTTTTTTCATCTGTGATAATATCTAAGTTTCTTATTATCGGTAAAAAGTTTATGTAATCATTAATGTATTTTTCATCAATGTGACCCTTTACTTCAGCCACGAATAAAGTATTTTTCTTCTTAATTATTCCCAGTGCTTTTGCTTTCTTTGTTGCTGTATCACAAATGATAACACCATTCAATCTTCCCGGCATATACATTTTATGGTCAGTATATTGAATGAAATCATGAGGATTAGATGAAAATGATGAAGGATATAATGAATTAAAATCAACACCAACGAAATGAGTCATGATGTTGGAGGTGTCCTCATTTGATACAGTTTTAGTTTCTGGACTATATGAAAGTTTATTAATGTGCGTGATTCCTTTAAGATTTAACACTATGTTGAACATTTGATAGACCACCAGTAATTCCATTACGGAGAATGTGATAAGCTTCAACTGAATCTAAAGTCATTGGTAAATTATTTTTTAATGCATAATTTCTTAAATTGATTCTTAAACGTTGAACATCTTCATCTTTATTTGATTTTACGACATTGCAATAACAACACATTAACTGACAATTTTCTTTGGTATGTGGTTTTTCATTATCGATTCTATCCAATGTTGGTTTATTTGCATATGTAAACGCTTTACCACACATTTTGCATTTAGATGAAAGGATTAAATCGTGATAGTATTGAAAATCATCCATTGAAACATTATTTTTAGTATCCCTTTCTGCTTTTTCATCTTGTTTCTTATATGATTCAATTTTATATTTCCAATACTTTTTCGTTAATTCAAAACTTGATTCTATCTCTTCCTCAGGATATTTTTCATTAGGATTAAAGTCTTTATATGCTAAAGCGTAACGAATCATTGAAGCATTCGATGATAAAGAAAGATTATGAAGCATATCAATTTTATAAACAAATGTTTCTTCAATAATTTTATCGATTGGGTCAATCATAATTTCAACATCTTTATTGCAATAATGAATAAAATATTCTAATCTATTCTTAAAGTTTTTAGCATCATTGAGATATATTTGATAATCACTATCTGATATAGTTTCTTGAGTTAATGCTGAATAAAATGAATCTTGAGTGAATGGTTCCACTTTATATAATTCTTCTTCGAATTTTCCCACGTGATGAATTGATAAGGGAAAAAGGATTTAACACGTGATTTATTGTTTCCGAAATCTTGAGTGAATTGGTCTAATGTCCCACCCGCTATATAATTTCTGATGTCAATAAATCTCAATTCATATGGACGTTTGTTTTCTTTACAATGATTTGCTTAAATTGTGAAGATGAACCCAGCATTGATTTTATTTTCCATTTTGCAGTGTTTAAATCATGAAGAATTAAATTTAAATCAAACTTTCCCGAATTAAAACCTATGATATTCACTTTATTGAATTCCTCATCTAGAAGTTCTTTAAATGCTTCCTTCTGTTTTTCATTTAATGTATGGGACAAAGTCCCCGCCGTTTGCGACTTCAATAATTCATTGTATTGACTCATATTTGATTCAACAACTAATGAACAGGTTGAAAATAAAAACTCAATCCAATCAGAAATAAAAGAATCACTCGAAGTTAAGCAAAAATTCCTCGTATATGTTTTATCATTTAATTTAACCGTTGATGATACCATGAATGGTTTTAAGTAAGCATTCAAAGTTGCACACTCAGAAAGTTGTAATTCTTCTTTAGTCTCTAATGTTTCAAAGTCAAAAGTAATATAATATCTTGTCGGTTTATAATATTTCTGCAAATTGTGAGCTAATAACCACTGATATATCTTCTGTTTCGTAATATGTGGTGCATATGGTTGCTGTGTCTTTTGCAACTGAACGTCTTGAATTAATCTTCCATTATTTTCTTTACATTTCTCACAATGCTTTAAAAATCTTCTTTGGTTTTTCCTTTCTGGATCATCGCGGATAGAATAAACTTCTTCTTTACAATATGGACAAACTTTATAGCCGGTGAGTGCTTCAACGTCTGTTATTCTGTCAGCGTGAAGTTTTCCACATGGACTCTGTGTTTTAATAAAATTATTACTGTTTCAATTCTGGATCTATCATTATTGATTCCACTAATGGAAAAGTCTACTTTATTATGTCCACGTCTTCTGGTTTGAGGATCACAATAATAGAAATCAATCATTAACATTTAACATTCTCGCTAATCTCTCACTTTCTGATGAAATGTAAACCCTTCATATGCATCTATTGCTTCATTTAAATAGCTTCTACGAGTTTTAGGATTAACACCATCAGGAATGTTATAGAAGCGTTTAAATAACCTTTACCTTCTGCTCTAATTTGATTATCATTCATTTTAGCTGTTCCGTTTTGTTCATTTATGTAAGAATATAAAAATTAAAAAATAAATAAAAATAAAGTTTATTTTTTAAAGCCCATAAAATGAATTAAGAACACATAAATTTTTATTCATCGCGACGTGACGAATACATTTTAATTTACTCAAGAATGCGTACCCTGATACATTAAATCTAATTCCTGTCTTATTTAATTTCACAACTTTGAAAAGGAATGTATGAATAGCTATAAAATGATGAGAAGATTGTTTTATGGGTTGCTTCCATTTTTTCTGAAATAAATGAATAAATATAATGTTTATAAGTTTTCATATCTTTTATATTCTTAATAACGAATGGTATAGACCTTTCAACTTCGTCTTCTTTTTGGTGCTGTTCTTTCATATTGAAAACATTATTAGTATCTTCAATAATGAAACCACAATCACACAAAATTTTATATGTTCCAATGGTTTCTTTTGATATTTTATCTAATAAATCAAAAACTTTATCAACACCTGTGCATTTATTTAAATAATAATTTGTGTAATATCATGATCTTCTTTCTTAATCGTATTAGTTTGCATATGTCACGTTTTTTTAGGTGTTTTGAATTTTCGGAATCTAAAGGTGGTGAGTAAGATACAGGGGTATTCTTCATTATCAATAAATTGTAACTTATGTTTACGAATAAATTTAGTACCTTCTTCTGAAAGTGTTTCGTCTATTTCGCCATCTAATAAATTTTGTGTTGATTCTGAGACATAATTTTTATATCTTTCTTCATGAGATTTCTGAACTTCTGATTCTGAAGCTGGGATATTCATTAAACCCTCTACTTCATTTTCATTATATTTTTCAACTTCTCTTAATTCCTTAATTTTTTCATCTATTTCATCCCTTATTTTTTTCAGTCTTTCAATTTCATCGTATTCATCATCTTTAATTCGTTCTTCATAATATTCGGGGAAAACATCAGGTTCTTTAGGTTTTTCTTCTTCAGATGTGGGATATAAGAAATTTATAACATCATCTTTATTCATTTTTCCATCATAATCTAAATCATTTAATAACTCGGCAAATTTTTTACAATTTCTTAAATAATATTTATTAACTTCATAACCCACCTCCTCTAATATATCCTTTATTTCCTCGTTTGTGAATCCTAATTTTTTAACGTTGTTAGTTTTGACGCTCATTTCATACAAAATAAAAAAATAAAATAATAAACATAACTAAGTTTTAATTTTTCGTAAGACATGAATTTTTAAAGTTTATTTTTCATTCATGAAAATAATTATTTCTAATTTCTTTTACTCTCTCGTATATACTAGATTTAAAGAATTCAGAACATTTCCCATAATCTCCTAAATGTTTTCTTATCTTATTGGTTTTCCATTCATTATATGAAACTGAATAAACTTTATCTTTATCTTTACACCTTTCATCACTTCCAATATATTTATATTTCAATTTTGATTTATTGGTTTCATATTCATTAGCGTTTAATAATTCACAGTCTTCCTTTTTAAATAAATGTTTTATGTATTCAGGATTAACAATTCTATAATATTGCTTCCCTTTAAATCTTTGAATATAAACAGGAACACCATCCTCTAAAATTCGATAATCTATTTTATCTGGTTTTACTTGTTGGGTCATTTATGTAAGAATAAAAAAATAAATTATTTTTAAAAATAACTTTAATTTTTTTTTAATGGTTTATAAATAAATATATTTTAATGCATCGTCTATATATAGATGTAACAAAAAAAGTCACAAAACCCATCCTATCCTACTACTAAAATATTGTTATTGAATATGTATACTTAGTATTGTCAATTTTGGACCACTGAGAAGTTTGTATTTCAATTTTGAAATACTTCATTGCTGATATTTTGGTAATTTTCAGAGAAAAATTTATTGAATCTTCAATATGGGGTTTTATTGGAATACAAATTTCGAAATTCTCAATTAAAACTATTCTATGTAACTTATAACAACAAATAACTACATTTATAAACATAATTATGGACCTCATTAAATCCAATATTATATTTGGATTTTCATTATAGAGGACATCTGAACATTTAATTGGCATAGTATTTATCAAGTATTTGGTTTGTTTATAAATAGAATTGATTTCCAATTTGAAAAGCTCAATATTTATCATTGAGAGTTTAATTATCAAAAAATTTATTAGTGTTCCATATTAAGTTCTGTCAAAATGTAAGCTATTCAATTCTATCGTCGGGGGAAGTATCACAAATCTATCAATTTTTTTGTAAAAGTATACAAAAACATATGGTGTTCAATTAGTTTATAATAATATAAATATTAAGATTATCCAAAATAAGAAAAACTAGGTTTTGAGAACACTTTTGAGATGATAATCAAAATATTTTGATTGAAAAATAATATATTATTTATCAGATTTAGAATGGATTTTTTCAAATTTAAAAATTCTGAAAAATAAACAGTTTTGTAAAGTAAAAAAATGAACGAAAACTCGAGACCTCGTATTCCAAATTAATGGGTAAGATATATGTATGAAAAACTTGAAAATGGTGAGTAAGGATGTCAATTTGGAAGAAAAGTGAGAAAATTTTGATTGTGAACTCATCTCTAATATTTTGGCTCCTTCATATATTTGAAACATGATCTTTGAGAAGAGTTCTCAAAAGTATTCACAAAAGCTATTTTTCCTTGAAATTTAAAAATCCTGTTTATTATATATTACCGAATTCAATTCCCTACATATTTCAAAATATTCTATGAGCATTTCAATTTTAAAAAAAAACATATTTTTTTCCAAATATATTTATTATCATATTTCTAATAATATTTCCTAAAGCGTCACTTTTTACTTCCTCGACGATTATTTTCCTCTCAAAAAATTCAATAGCTTACATTTTGACAGAACTTAATATGTAACACAATATCTAGTTGATCTTATTTTTTCGGTGATGCATTCCCAGTAACAACGTTTTCTCGAACACAAAACATTGCAAATGATTTTAATATTTATGGTTTTGAAAATGCTGCAAAAAATATCCACTTTATGGATTGTACATTTGAAAATATGGATTCTCACCCAATTGCAATACAGCATATTTGGCTCAAAGTATTAGTCGAAAAGTCCTTGTTTGAAAATTGTACAGATTCAGGCGAAGGAGGAGGAATTTACGTAAATTATGCAGAGAAATTCGTTTTAGATAAGGTTTGTGCAAATAGATGTTTATCAAATACTTCTGGACACTTTTTCTTTCTGGACTTTATAAATTCTTCAGTTAATTTGACTTCGGTAATATATTGCGGCGGAGTTCAAGACGATCTTACAGCAGACTCGACAACACTATCAATCAATGGAAATTTGGGCTATATAAAATATCTAAATTGCTCATTTAATAAAGCTAAATATGCTTCTGCATTGAAATTTAGTGTTACAAGATCTTATAGTCTCAATTTCTCTACAATAAATAGCAATTCATTTTCTAAACATACAATTGATATTTTCAACGACGTAATTAAAATAACTTCATGTAACATACTTAATAATCGCGGTGATTATGTTTTTTCTATAAATTCAGATTTAATAATAAGAGACTCATCAATTTATGATAATGATGTCACAATGGTATTTTTTGGTAATTTAGGTGAAATACAATCAAACGTATATCTTTTTAATACTTACATTGATTCAGCTAGTTCAGAAGGCATTGGTACGATCAGATTCAGAGATCAAGTATTGATCAAAAATTCCGTCAATTTAGAAAGAAAACTTTCATGCGGAATTGATCCAGTTCCAATGACAGCTCCTAAAAAACTAGAACATATCATTAATGCATATAAGAAATAGAGTGATATAATGATGATAATAATTTATGTTTGCCTCCTGATAGAATAAAAATATCAATTTAGCACTTCACAATATATCAATTTTATTTAAGGTTGCACATACACCCCTATGAGATGACATTCAATTCAGATGTTTAAGGTTGATTTTCAATGGTGCTTCACGCCTGTTGTCAAAAATTTAATCAACGTCAGATGGGGATAAGTGCAGCCTTAAACTTGTTTTATTCCCCTAGAGGTTCATTCACCACATTTGAAACATCCAACTAGCATCTGATTTAAGCAGACACTTACCACTTTCTGTTATAGTCTAACAAAATCAGCAAACCATTGTTTTAATATAGGGTGTCCAAAGGTGCGTTTAGCACAGCGCTCTATATGAGACTATTAAAGGAGATATATGCTGATTATAAATATATAATAAAAAATATGAATATATGTATATGATGAGTATGTTGTATTTTGGCGCCATGCCGGGATATAAAATGAATTTTGAGACAAGAGGCGGTTTCGCGGGAAATTTTGGCGGGATTTTTTTCATTTTTTTAATGAATCATAAAGAAAACATCCTCGCTCTTGCAAAAAAATGCAAAGACTGTAAAAAATCTATGAGACATTGGTAAAATGCTTCGGTATGGATGCTCCTAGCTATTCCACTGTAACGTATCATGTTAGGATGTATCACTTCATGAACAAAAAGGCGCCCATCATAAAAATTGACAAAAAATCGCCGGATCAAAGAAAAATCAAAGCAATTCTTCAAGTGCTAGATGAAGACCCAAGAGCATCACTCAGAAGGATAGAGAGATGACAAAGATACCACGTACAACAGTCAGTTATTATCTGCACAATTATTTGAACTACAAACTAGCGTATACACGTTGGGTTCCGCACAACCTTAATTCAGTTCAAAAAAAATCTAGAGTCCAATCTTCGAAAGAGCTCTCTCTATATTGGGTGCGTATCAATCCAAGAAGTTTCGCTTTTTAGTAACAGGGGACGAGTCTTGGTTTCAATATGCAACAGAAGCCAAAATCATGTGGATCCCGAAGGATGAAAATCCGCAAACATTCCCGAAAAAAAAATTGACACACCAATGATGATGTTGTCGGTTTTTTGGGGCGTGAATGGCATCATCGCAATTGATATTCTTCAAAAACCTAATACGATGAATGCTCAGTATCTAATTGACAATGTTCTTACTCAAATTATCAATTCTGATGAGTTTGAGAAATCCAAACAACAAAAACAAAAGTTTGCAATTCATTTTGATAATTCAAGAGTTCACAAAAAGTCATAAGGTAATGAATTACTTGGTGGAAAACAATGTCAAAGTTGTTCCAAACCCAATTTATTCACCTGATATTGCACCCTCTGACTTTTATTTATTCGGCACGCTAAAAAGAGAGCTGAAAGGACGCGAATTCGCGAGTCCAGATGATCTTGAAAATTTTGTAAGAGAGCAATTTGAGCAATTTTCTCATGATGATTTAAAGCGTGTCTTTCAAGCCTGGATCGATCGCTGCGAACGCGTGATTGAATCCAATGGTGATTATATTTAAATAAACTTTATATATATGTAACTTGTTTATTTCTATTCGCAGTATTCAGGTTTGTGCTAAACACACCTTTGGACACCCTATAGTAATAAAATATAACAGATGTATTAGGAACTACATAGTGATTTATAATAGCTATTCACCCACAAAAAAATATTAATTTCTATCAAATGCTATATCAAAAAGAATTTAAGTATTTAAGAAACTACAAGGCCTAGTAAGCCGATAGAGAAAAATCGTGAATATATAATCATATTACATGAACAGATATTAATGGGTGCAAGAATAGTAATCTTAAATGCACCATCACCTAAATGACCTTGTTCAAAACCAACATAATGATTAATTTTCGATGATGTAAACTTTGGAAGTTTTTCATCACCAGAAAGCATTTGAATACTGGTGAATTCAAGTCCTGAGTAGTGAACAGTACCAATGAACGAGTTATTGTTTTCTAATGAATAATATTTCGAAACACTAATACAACCATTGCAACCAGACACATACGAAGAGCCTCCACCGCCAGTTCCATGTCTATCAAATGAAACAGATCCTCCACCACCTCCAAAGTAGCCAGAGCCTCCTCCAGAAATACCATGAGGAGTTAATGCGCTATTACCTCCCATTCCAAACATTCCATCTTGACCGTTTTCAAAATTTTCATAATCGGAAATTCCTGTTTTACCGCCTCTAGTCTGGCTTCCTCCTGTGGCAGGGATATAAGTGGAGCTCACTTCTCCATGGTGAGAAAAACTTCCAGCACCACCATTGAGATTTCCTCCGGGACCCCCTTTTCCATTAGTTGGATTGTTGTTAGAACCCTCAATATAACTATCAAGGATTACACCGCCGCCGGCACCAGCAACAACAATTCTTGATTTGAGACCTTCAATATCTGTGCTATTTTTCAAACGAAAGTCTGTAGCGCCTCCACCTGAGTAGCAGAAAATATTATTTTCCTTCAGGGCGGGATGGGTCAAAAGAAGTGCAACTGCCGCTACCATTAAAGGTACGCTTATTACTATTTCTTTTTCCTCTTTCACCAACATAAATGAATAGTGGGGTGAAATGTTTGAATGTAATAATTCCGGAAACATATCCTCCAAGACCACCATTGTTGCGGTCTTCGGCACCTGATGCACCCCAACACTCTATTTGATAAGTTCCAGGAGATGCATGATATGAATATATCCCGAATGAATTGGCCGATGCAACGGTTTTGGAAATATAAAAATAATGATCGTATTTTAAGGTTTTCGACTTTTTCAGAGGGATAAAATTGTTGTATCTAATTTCATATTGTTTTATATAATTATACTTTAAATATTGTATTCCAACACTAATATAGACACTACAGCTGCAGCTGCAAAGGTACATTCACTATTTTTGACAAAATTTTAAATTTTCATGGGGTTGTAAATCTTATAATAACTAGATGAATAAGGAATGAATCCTAGTATAATGTGCATCATTATATTAAACACTATATGTAAGGCTAATGATTCTATTAACACTTATGAAGATCTATAGTATTTGAGCAGATAAATTTGATAATTTCCAAAACTCTTATATTTCAAAATTAAAGTGTGCGAATGCATTTAAATGAGAGCAAAAAGAGATTGATGCTGTTAAAACTAGGTGTTAATTTGCAATTATTTCGCATCACAAGAACTACCCAGTAAATTCGGCTATCTTTCTTTGCAATTATTCTCCATTATACCTATAATATAATGGTTAGGGTTTGAAGAAAAGTTACTAGAGAATTATTGACTTTTGAAATAATGCAGAATTTTACTTGAAGAAATCATTAATTTATGAGTTCCAAATTGCTAAGCATGACGAAGGATCATTAAATTTGCTACAATTAAATACACTTATTGCAGAATTAAGATTTTTGAAATTAAAAGTTTGAAATATTGCCTTTTTGAATAAAAATTTAAATTTTATTATATAATCATGATAATATCTTATAGAAATTAAAAGAAAATATTTTAAACCATTCAAATATTTTGAATGTCTTATCAATTTAAAATATTAAAAGATAGCTTGATTTTATCATCATTAGTTGTTATCAAAGTTTTCTTCTTTTGATGAACAACAGTAAATGATTTGTTAATTACTTGTCTTCCTTTTTCGCAGCAAAATCGAAAGTTATGATGATAATCTTGCTCTCAATTTTTGAAACTCTCTGATTTACAAGTAAGCATTCCTTTGGAAAAGCAGTCCTATTCTGTTTTCAAGATATTTTAAAGCCTCCATTTCATACAATGCGCAGATCTATTCGAAATTGCAAGAACTCTCAAGAAAAATGCAGCAGCAAAGAAGATTCCATAGTTTCTAGCATCAAAAATTTACAACCTTAATACAACAGTTAAAGAGAAGCTCGAAAAGAAAATATTTAACCATAAAGCTGGAAACCATTCGATATCTACTATTGGATCTAATAAAAAGTTAATTATAACATATTTAACATGCTATTTGTTGACTTTGTTCCATTATATTACCATATATATCTTTTTGAAATCTAAAATATTTTTACGATTTTAACCATGTGTTGTTGAAACCATATATCAATCTTAGCTAAAGTATAGTTTATGAGTCTGTCACCATCTAACATATGAATTTTCAAAAATGTCAAATATGTTCATTTTTTCTGTAGATTCAGCCATAATTTCATGTTGTTATACTATTCAACTATTATTTAATATTTTTATCGATTTAAATATATGATGAGATGCTTAGTTCTCCTGGAAATCGATTTTTAATCGCAATTTTAACTTTCCAAAAAAAATTCAAAAATAAAAATCCCTCTCAATTTTCTAAGTTTTATAACTCGCCAAATCTCTAGCCAAATTTTTTTTGGCCCGTATAAATATTGTTAGGCACTATATAGGGATGCTATTTATCCTATTTTCATCCCATTTTACTGTTATCGCCTAGTGAATGTACCTTTGTAGCTGCTCGAGAGAGGGTCAAAGTTGCTATTTGTCACTTTTCCACAAGAATATAATGGGGAAAAAGTTATCATATAGTTGATCTCATTCACTGAGGTGAGAGATGCATGTAGTGTAATGTGATAAAAAGTGGGATTGCTGCTCTAAGTCCTAGGTTCGAGACACATTAGCTTCATTTTTCTCTTTTTTATTGACGTAAACTATTCAATTTTTGTGTTCTCCATTCAAATTTCAGAATTTTTTTTGCAGATTTCACGCTACATTCGAAGTTACCTTTTGTAACAACCACCACTGCCTACGAAAGACGAAAGTGTGTCACGATTTCACCCGGAAATCCGACGGTTGTTTAAGAGTATGCACTTTTGTCACCTACTCGTAGCTGCTCATCATGCAATTGGAAGTCCTTGATTTTAAAAATGAGAATTGAAAAATGAGATTTTGATATTTATGACATTAATCTCCGATCTTTTATTGCTTGCTTGTATCGGAGATTGTTTTTTTAACAATTAGGAATGTTGATGTCTTGCATTAATGCTAACTTTTTGTTTGAAAGTTGCAGGAACAAAGCCATAAAGGATTTGATGGCGTTCTTTCGTAAGCTGTTCCAGAAAGGGAAATTGAGAAACTTTATTGTAAATTAAGACACTAAATCATAAATTTTCGCTTATAGGTGATAAATTATGCTCACATATGACGGTTTGCTTGAGTGAATGCATTTAATTTGCATTTTAGCACAAATTTCACTTCATTAGATAGGGATTGATCAGCATTTTTACTGAATTACTTGGTATTTTGTTGGAATTGAGTTTGCCAATTGATTCTTTATAATGTGCTTAAATAATTTGAGGACTCAAAATGCGCGAGCTTTTATGGCAAAAATTTTTTATTGGAAATCATTATGACCTGCAAAGATTCTTGCAATTGTGCACAGAATGCAGGCGGCTGTGGCTGCTGTCAGCAACAACAACCTGCCACATGGAGAAATGATCCGATTTGGGGTGGGTGGAGTACATATCAAGGTGCAGATTTAACAAGGGAAGGCACAGTTAAAATACCAGAAAGCAAATATAGACAATTTGTAGCATGGAAAGAGTTCCTGGAAGCGCGTAAAAGATTTTTAGATTTACTTCGAATAGACGTTGAAAATCAGATGCAACAAAGACAGAACTTTAATCCTCAAAATCAATTTAATTTCCAGCGTCCACCATTCCCTCCTAATTGGGGACTTTATCCAAACAATTTTGGACAATTTCCACCTGGATGCTTCCAAGGAAACCCATGGATGCAATACGGATACCACTAATATGATATAGGTGTTACGTTCATTTCATTTGTTATATTGTTTTTGACAATTAAATATCCAAAAAAATAATTAGAAAGAAATATTTGAGAATCTAACTACAAAAATTGTTCAATTCGAGTTGAACAATTAATAAACTTATGAAAAATGTTTTTCCGGAAAGAATAAGAATATAAAATTTCCAAATTATGAAATCCATCTTGAAAAATTTCAAATTTGTTAATAGATGATATCAAGTGAATGTATTTTCTTTGAAATATTAACAAACAAAAATTAAATCATTTATTTTCGAAGTACAAACAAAACAACAGTGAGCATATTATCTGGGATATCAGGTTGAATTCGGTATTCTTCAAGAATTAAACCTGCTGTATTGAATAACTCGATCCAATGATTATATGTTCTATGTATTGCATTTTTCTCAGAATTGTATTCATATTCCGATTTTGCTGCTTTAAAGTCATGGCCAGCAACGTTTTCTTTAACAAAAACCATTGCGTTATCTGTTGAATTTTCTTTGCATTTCTTAAGGAATGCGATAACATCTGCATCTGTAAGCTGGCATAATGTCCATTGTATCCAAAATGCATCATAAGTCTTTTGAGGATTCCATTCTTCAAGACCCACTTGTTCTGTTTCAACTGGTGCATCTTTTTCGATGTACTCACGTGCTTTAAATAAGAAATGAGGAATAGGATCAATAATATCGATTTTATCGAAGAAATGTATAAGGACTTGGAAAGCAACGCGTCCAATGCCTCCGCCACAATCAGCAATTCTTCCACCATGTATCTTTTCTTCAAATTTAAGTAAAGAAAGAACCGTGTAGCTGAACTTCAAATCTGGAGTCGAAGAATTATCAGGGCCGTTAATCATGGATTCAACAGTTGCTTCTTGAGTTGACCAATAAAATCTGCTTTCAATATACCATTTATCGAGTTTGTTCGCATATAACTTCTCGACATCTGCTGGATAACTGATCTTCGATGTCATTTTGTCACTTTTTATTCACGTTAAAAATTATTGATTGCTAGAAAATGAGCTCAAGTGATGATGATCCACTAGTTTTTGGTATTAGACCACCAAGAGCTCCTCCGCCATCAAATACAGGTCGAATAAGAAGAAATCCTAGAAATTTTCGAACTGAAAAACCTCCTCCAGAACCTCAAGAATTAAAGAAAGAAGAAGCAAATGAAGAAGTGAAAGAAATTCCTGATAAAAAACCACAAGAAAATGTTATTCAAGAAATAAATTTGCAATATTCTATCCATCGTACAAAATCAACAATTACATCAAAAACATTTACGTTTTCAAATGAAAGTTCAACTTTATTTACGGGTAAAAAAGCACGTTCAAATTTCTATATTAATAAAGGTGAAGACTGTCACATATCAGGATCTCATGACTACGAAATACTATATTTGAATGAGGATAGATCCTGGGAACTTCATGAGATTTCTTCAAATCTGAAACTTATGAGAATGAAAGCTGAAGAAACAGACATTACACTATCAAAGATGAAAAAGATCGACATCTTAATGTTCAAAATTACAATTTTCAAGAATGGAGAAGAAATTAATCTTCATTCTTGCCTTCCAAGGGTTAAAAATGGAGGATTGGTACTACGATTCGGTAATAAGTTCATATGTAATTCCCCTAAGAATATTATTCTTCTTGATTCACAAGAATTGAGAGTTTTGGAATTATTTAAAATTGCAAAGGATTTCATGAGAATGGATATTCAGAGAAACATGGGGATACCTGAAATTGTATTATGCGCGATATCTTTTATCAATTGGATATCTCATTAGTTTAATTTTAATGTTTAGTAAAAATTTTTGTATGTACATATCTATTTTATTCAACAACAATAACTTCTTTTGGTTTTTCTTCCTCTTGTTTCTCAGCAGGAGCAGCCTCAGGTTCTTTCGCTGCTTCTGGAGCTGGTTCTGGATTCGAAACAGTTTCTTGAGGTTGTTCAGCAGCCGGCTGCTCGGCAGGTGGAGCTTGTGGTGGTTCTGGTTGTGCTTCTGTAGGTTGAGGTGTTTGTGGTGGAGGTTCTTTGACTTCTTCTGGTTTTGTTTCTGTATTTTGTTCATTAACAACAGTAATTTGTTCAACTTTAGGAGGTTCGACTGGTAAAGGATGTTCTGACATTGGTACTATAGATTGTGGTACATGATGTGCTAAAATTGACATTCTTTGGGAAGATTTTAATAATTGAAGCATCCATTCTTCTTCTTTATTTCTTGGTAACTTTGCAATCTTATTTGCAAACCATTCTTCAAGTTCTCTAGCTATTAAATGCAAGAGAGTTCCTTCTTCATTATAAAGTTTTGCATTTTTCCAGATTAAATTAACGTCACTTGTAAATAAATCGATTGTTTTATATTCTCCAGCTGCTAATTTCTTTTTAACGGTTGATAAATCCATTGGCTGCTTAACTATTTCCAAATAATCGGGAGCTCCATCTCTTTCAGGATCAACTTTCTCACGAAATGGTCTTGTAAGGTCTTTACGGAACATATCACTGATTAATTCATGGCATTTTCTTTTTTCAAAATCATTCATGAGAATAATGTCACTTTTTTGTAAAACACAATCAACTAAAGCTGTTTTTGGCCTTTTCCAGATAACATTTATGTCAAATTTCTGCTAGATGTTGTTCTAACTATCTTTCAAATCAGTTCATTTCGTTTAGAATTTGATTTAAAACTTTATTCGTAAAATTATATTTTCAATTTAACAACAACTTCACGTCATCACGCACTTTAATTTGATTGATGCAATACACATTTTGATTAATCGTATTCATTATTAAATTCTTTATTTCCATTTTGATAGAAAAATATAAATTTTTAATATATTAACTAAAAACAACTACAAACAAACAGATACCAATTAATAAAATAAATCAGCATATTCTGCAATTAAGATCACAAGAAATATCAGAGTCGATGAAAGAAGTTCTCCTTTTTGATAATGAATTATCAGAGCAACTAATGTCAACAATATTGCTGAAACTTGACATCTTCTCTAACTTACTTTTAGACATTTTTGCGATTTCTTCTTCTCCAAGTAAATCTACGCAAAGAGAGTTCTTGCTTTCAGGAGCAATCTTATTAATACTTGTTTTTAGCAAGTCGTAGATCAAAGCGTAGTCTGGAGTTTCTTCAAATTTGAGTTTAATAATATTATTGTAAATTTTTGTCATTTCTTTTGGAAGATAATTACAAATATCCTTTGGGCGAACTCCTTTCCTTTGTTTAAGCGACTCTTCCTTTCCTGTGCATCTTTTCCAAGGGAGATTTCCTGTTGCTAACTCAACAACTGAAAAGAACCATGAGATTAAGTCATCCTTCCTGGAAACATCTTCACCTCTGAGAGCTGCTAATGATGCGTATCTTGATGTTCCACCAAAAGCGCGCTCAGTTCGTGGAGGAAGATGAACTCCAGATTCTGTGTCGACATATGAGCAAGCTAGTCCAAAATCAATGAGAACTAGTGCGTAAATATTATCTGATCGTACTAAGAAGTTGCCTGGTTTGATATCTCTATGAATAAAGCCATGTTTGTGTAATTGTTCGATACATTTTAGCATTTGTATGCCACAACGTAACGCAAGTTGGACTGATAGTCTCTTATTTGGATATTCATGTTTAATTTTTGATAATGAATGTCCTAGAAGTTCCATAATAAAGTAACGAAATTTTTCTGTCTCTCCGATTTTTTTAATTCTAGGAAACATTGGAGAGCCTTGCAATCTCGAGAGAATTGATGCTTCGCGTGCAATACCTCTGTGTTCAGCATTTAACCATTCAGTTTTCATTGCAAAATTTGTTTGTGTGCTTATTTCAGAAACCATATAGATATTTCCGAATCCTCCCTGCCCAATGAGATTAAGCACTTGAAACCCATCAATGATCTGGCCTGTAAGAAGCTCTGACTCTTCTGTCATTTAATTTTTTCTTAACGTACAGTTTTCTTTCAAATTTTGAATGATCAATATTTTAAAAGTCAATTGAGCTTTTTAGATAATGAACGATTTAATTTAATATCTAAAAATAATCAAAGAATAGATTCTGCGGTCGAATTTTTAGTTATGCTGATTATTTACTCTTATCGATTTGGAAAATGAGCGTTTCTATCATGATTATACATAAAATCAGAAGAAAACATAATAGCCTATCAAAATTTTCATTGAGACCAAGATATAAAGCATTAATGCATAAAAACGAAATATTTTATTCATACAAACAAAATTAACCAATTTTGAGATAGTGCTATTATAATATCTGATTTGCTGGATAATTATGGGTAATATTATCAAGTAATCAGCAACGTGCAGTAAATTATTTTTGAAAATTTTCCAGATAGTTTGGAAATAATAGAATTCTGGCAAAACATGCAAATTTTTCGGAACAGGTAATGATAATATCCGAACGATCTTATTTTCTGAAGCCTTTGAGGAGGGATTCTTTCATTGGTATTGTAAAAGCACGAACAGTACTTTTAGAACGAGAGGTATCTTCCTGAAAATCATCGGGGTTGAACAGTTCCAAAGCTGGTTCAAGAGCTGACATAATTTTTCGCTTATTACGTTGACAAATGATTTGTTCTATTCCATACTTATTTCTTTGCTTAACTAAAACTTTTGTACCTGGGATAATTACTTTCTTTCTTGGTGATAATGGCTTGAGTATAATTTTCCGTAAAAGTTCCTCTTTTGTACCACCTACATTTCTCTTTGGAGGAGGTGGTGGTGGTGGAGGCTTATCTCCATTAATAACAGTAAGGAATGATTGAGCATTTGAATAAATACTCATTGTTTGGCTTGTCCAATTGTTTGGCTTCTTCTGCTCTTCTACTGGCTTGCTGAGGAAGAGATCAAGCGCCGGATCCCATGTTAGAGGAATTTCAAACTCATCTTCCTCCGCCATATAACGAGTTTATTTTTGTAAACATTTCAATTTTATTCTAAGAGATTGGAGTGCCTCAAGTGGAGCCCCTATGATTTGAATTGTCAATCAAATGATAATTACATATTGAATTTATAATTAAGGGTTTCGTTTTGCTAAAATTGTCACTTTTATAGCTAATTAATTTTTGGTTGTTTTGCGAAACCTAAAAAAAAAATTCGATAGTCATGCTTATAGAACCCTCTTGCTATTGTGTCAAAATTGCGAAACCGATAGCAAAAATATCTCGCAATATCAAAAATGAGACATTTGGTGAATTATGCATTATACAGATTGAAAATATGATTTTTGAAAACATATCATCATTTAAAAAAAAAAAAAAAAAAAAAAAAAAAAAGGTAGTGGGGCTTCCAGGCACTTCGTGCCTTCTAGCCCTGATGATGTTTAATATTAATGAAGTTTTTTATTCGGAAAATTGTTAGTCTTCTGGGTCGAAAACATTATATATAATGTGTCGCTTTTCACAAATTATATATGTTTTCATGTTTTGTCAAGACTTCTTCGTAAATGTTTTGTCAAGACTTCTTCGTAAATGTTTTGTCAAGACTTCTTCGTAAATGTTTTGTCAAGACTTCTTCGTAAATGTTTTGTCAAGACTTCTTCGTAAATGTTTTGTCAAGACTTCTTCGTAAATGTTTTGTCAAGACTTCTTCGTAAATGTTTTGTCAAGACTTCTTCGTACATGTTTTGTCAAGACTTCATCGTAATGAGTGTAAATGACCAAAAATAATGTTTAGGGTAGAAGGTTAGATCTAACCTCTTTTCTAACCTCTTTTCTACCCTCTTGAATTTGTCAAGATTTCTTCGTAAATGTTTTGTCAAGACTTCTTCGTAAATGTTTTGTCAAGACTTCTTCGTAAAATCAGACAAAAATATATTTTAGGTGAAGAGGTGAGATCTCACCTGTTTTCTCACCTGTTTTCTCACCTCTTGAATTTTCATGATTTCATCGTAAATGTTTTGTCAAAACTTCTTCGTAAAATGTTTTGTCAAGACTTCTTCGTACATGTTTTGTTACTTTTCTGTCACTTTTCAGGGGAAAACATTTTTATTATTATATATAAATGAATTTTACAAAACCACCGTTACCGTTCTTTGGAAATAAGAGTAGATGTAAAGATATTATATTGAGAGAACTTAAGAAACTACCGAATGGTCTAACATTTGTAGATTTGTTCGGTGGAAGTTTCTATATATCTCATTTGTGCCATACTGTATTTCCTGACTCAAAGATTATATGCAATGACTTCGACAACTATATGAACCGTCTCAAACATATACCAGACACAAACAAAATATTGAGTGAGTTGAAAGAAAAGATACCTATAGGTAAGATGGAACGTATACCATTAGATAAGAAAAATACTGTCAGAGAGGTTTTGAAAAAAGCAGAGTATATTGACTGGGATAGTATATCTGCTAGACTATTGTATAGTGGTTCTATAAGAGTTCATGACATTGAAACACTTATGTCAAACGTTTTATATCTTAACTATACAAAGGTTTTCAAAGAGAACATAGAAAAATATACTGAGGGTATAGAGTTTGTGAGATGTCATTGGACAGAGTTGTATGAAAAATACAAAGACAAGGAAAATGTTTTCTTTATAGTAGACCCACCGTTCTATAACACATACGATTTTCAATACCAAGTAGACTGGACTTTGAGAGACTCTTTAGAAACTTTAGACGTTTTACATAACCATCCATGCTTTTACTTTACATCCGATAAAAGTGGTTTGGAAAGTGTCATGAGATGGTTAGAGGATATACATGACTATGATTTTAGATACGATAAGATAGAATATGAGAGAGGTCCTATAAACCGGAGAAAGTGTCATAACAAAGAAATTTTACTAGTAAGTAAATGTGGTTTGAAATAGGACTACTTGTTTTAGGTTTTTTCCATTGTGTCATTTACTTATTTGACGTGGCAGAAAGATATAGAGAATATGAAGATGAACCAATACCAGCAAATGTTCAGCATATGTACTCGTAAGAGATATTTTTATCTAATATTAAATGGACGCACAGAACTTAGCGAATGCACAGCAACCCGGACAGCCAAACCCAGAGAATATTCCAAATGAAGTTAGAATACAAACTGCAATGGCAAACTATGGTCAGGTGCCAACAGATGTACAAATGCAAACTGCCATGTCAAATGACGCTGCGTTAGGTTTGCCACCATGGTATGCAAATATGAGATGGAAAGAGTTTTATACAAACCCTGAAGTGGGATATAAACAACTTTATGCAGATGACGCGAACACAGGAGTTGACCCAGAATATGTTTTCTACCAGAGGAGAAACAGAATGTATGAGCTCCAGTTAAAGAATGCTATGGAACTCAACAGGAAACGTAAGAGACTAGGTGGACATTAGATTTTTACATATAGTAAAATGGGTTTCTTCAGTAGTATTGGAAACTTCTTTCGAAATGTTGGAAGAGGTATATGGAATGGAATAAAAACCGTAGGAAGAGGAGTATGGAACGGAGTCAAAAATATTGGTAAAAGAGTAGGTCAGTTCGTTGGTATTATACCTAAAGACCCTGAACCAGAAGAACAAGCTCCTGTTATACAACAGCCTGAACCTGCACCACAGTCTAGTTGGCAACCAAATCCAACACCTCAACCGTATTAAAATTATATTTTTACCGTTCGATAGTAGTTGTATATGAGACTAAGTTCTAAGTAAAACGCGTGGTATAATGGAACTATTCTCTTTCTTCCATCTGTTGTAAACCATACTTGAAAGTCTGAAATACTTCCACTCGGTGGTTCATATAGCTTTGTAGGTTTTTCGTAAAAGTCATTTGCCAAGCATAAAAAAGAGTTTTGTGCACCAGAAAATGAAGCATGAACTATAATAGCATCTGAGTCGAAAACATTTTCATATGTTCCATTAGGGTTTTCGACTTCATAAAAGTTCGGGTGTACTGGATATTCTGCAGGCTGATTTAACATCCTCAAAAATCTATACCATGCCAAGTTGTTATATTTTGTAGAAATATAAACGTCTTCTCCAAGGTCTTCTATTCTATTGATTTTAACAGTTGCATTTTTCCTGTCATATAAAATATCGAGATGGTACTCCCTTCGTCAATGTTAAACTGTTTTGCATATTCGAGATAGATATCGTTTATTTTTTCTTGAAAAGCTTGAAGAGTTGTTTCTAAGTTTACAAGCAAATTCACTTGTAAAAGTTTTCCCTGTTCAAATTTCTCATACGTACGTTTTTCTTTGTTATAGTATCGAACTTCAAAACCGACCGTAAATGGGAAACCATGTATGGCTTCTGAAATGAACTTCATTCTACGAAAGCCAATAGCTTTTGTGACGGATGGGTCTCTTAACCATCTTAACGGGTAGTCAAAACGATAGCCTTCATGCTTTACGGTCTCTGTCTCAAACTTTTGACCGACATTCGTAAAAAGTTCATCTAATGGTTTAGTTGTAGCAACTCTTGAATTTTCTTTTTCTATTGAAAGCATATTTTATCTAGAATAAAAATGTCGAAAGAAACAGCGTCTATGAGAGAAATACAACACAACCGACAACTCATTATGCAAGCTCTAAATAAGAACACAACAAACTTTTCAAACTATTCTAAGATATCTGAGTCATTGAAAGAAGGAAACTTAAAACTGACAATAAACCCAATGACAGATGAGTTTCTATTTCAAGACAGTAAGAACCATACTGTTTGTATAAATCCAACAAAAAGAACTTTAAACGAGAAACCTATAGATGAACTTCTTTTGAAAGCAGATATTGACAACAAAGCTGACAAAGAGTATGTAGATGCAACAAGAGACTATATTCTCGCATGGACAGATAGAACATACCCACAAAAACATCATACACATAACATCTATGACGTAGATGAACTACCAGCAATGTTAGATGACAAAGCTGACAAAACATATGTTGACAATAAAATGTCAAGTGAAGTGACAAGAGCTGACAAAGAATATTCTAAAAAGACTCATACACATACCATATCTGATATTACAAACTTACAAGAAACCTTAAACAAGAAAAGTGACGTTGGACATACACACGATTTCTTCGCAACTGTTGGTATAGAAAATATTGAAGGAACGGTTTAAGGAGCTGGTGGGGATGTATTAGATTGGAAACCTCCTAACTTTCCACAAGGTTTAACATCGGAAGAAGACATAACAACGATGAGATACATTAGATGTAGAAATGTCTATGTCATGGAGGATGAAAACAAAGTTAAATTCACTGCTCAAGATTTATATGATAAAAAAGCTGACAAAAACAGAGCTTCAAACGTTAAAGACAGAAATACTTCAAACACTATATCCTATAGGTTCTATTTACACGTCAATGAACTCTACCAAACCAGAAGTAGTACTTGGTTTTGGAACTTGGACTCAAATAGTCGACAGGTTTTTGTATTGTGCAAACTCTTCAAAGGAAACAGGTGGAGTAAAACGATTTCAGGTGAAAACTTACCTGCGCACAGTCACTACATAGATTTAAGTACATCTCAAGCAGGTTGGCATAAGCATAGATTTTGGGATTGGTCAGCAATGAAAAAAGGTAAAGGATATGATGTTAAAGACAACGTTCAGTTTGCTATAAATTGTTTCGGGGTAGCACACAGGGAGAAGGAAACCATACACATCGCGTTTCAGGGTATACGCAAACAACGGGACAAAGTAAAGACTACATGCCACCTTACATGACAGTTTACGCATGGTATAGAAATGCTTAGTCGTCATTTTCAACTTCTTTAGCATATTCGTCAGGAGTTGTCTTATATTTGTTAGGAACTGTCTTTGAAAGTATACCACCTTGAACCTTAACAAGTTTGAAACGAGGTCTGACAATAGTAGTTTTATCTTCTGCTTGCAGTCTGTACATTTTGCCATGTTTGCCTAAAACTTCATAATATTCTCTTGTATACTTTCTTCTATTTTTACGAACACGAATGCGAGTACCTGTCGGGTTCCCATTGTTGTCATAGTCAATAGTATTTTCATATGGGTCGCGTTAGGTATTTCTATTTTTACTTTGTCACCTTTCTTAAGTTTGAAGCCTGGCATTCTTTCTTGTTTGTCTCTTTTGACTAAACTATTAAATATATAGTCTTTCTCTAAGTCAGGGTTGTTTTTTCATTTCTTCGGGGGAATGGTTTCCCAAACCTTTTTGTTTACGGCTATTGTAAATATTTAAAACTTGTCTCATCTTGCCATGGAGAAGTGTCTATATTTGTCGTCATATGACATTTCATCTACCTCACCACCTTGTGGTTGATTTAAGTCTCTTAAGATTTTTATACAACTGTCAATGACACCAAGAGCAGAATGGTTTTGGTCGACAATGAAATATTGGTTTACATTTTTGAACGCAGATAGTTTTTAATATCGTCTGATTTGAAAGAACTTTCACAGTCAGATGTCAGTTTTGTTGGATGGTATTTGTCAACGAATATTGTCAAAGCAGTTTTCACATCTAAAATATTTTTGGACCATAATGGTATGGCTTCACAGTATCTTGTGTTTTGACCAACAAATATTAGCCAGTATGGTGGTCCATCTTCTCTATACCTCGGAATTTTTCCAAGATATCCATAAACCAAGCATTTGGTGTTGAACTAAAGATTTTTACCATGAGTGCTTTCTTTGTCGCTTTAGAAACATAGGGGTCCTTGTTTGAATTCGTCATTTTTAACCCATAAGAAATGGGTTTATTTGGCGCAATAGCAGGAGTCGCATCTAGATTTTTACCCGCAGTGGGAACAATAGCCAGAGGTGCATTTGGAATTGGAAGGAAGATTTTGAGTACATTAGGTATACTGAAAGAGAAAGCACAACCTATTATACAAACTGTACAGAAAGGTTGGGATGTAGCACGAGATGCAGCAAATCTTATTCCAAATCCTGAAACAAGAGGAAAAGTTCAAGGATGGATGGACAATGTAGGAAGACAAGCAGGAAACTATTATAACAAAGCAAATGACTACTATAACCAAGCAGGACACTACATGGACCAAGGTGAAAGATTCTTTAACAGAGGATATAACCATGCACAACAGTGGGTAAACAACAACCAACCGCAACCACCTCAAACGTGGGGAATGTAAATTTTTTTACTGAGATGAAATGAACAATACAGCATTGAGACAAATGGGTTCAAGATGGCTTTGTCGGCTTCCAGCAGTTACACAACCACGTGTTTGTCAAGTTCTTCCTATACCTCAGGAAGTTTTAGACCGACTTAAAAAACAACAACAACCAGTTGAAAACAAACCAAACTAATTTTTTTACTGAGATGAAATGACCGAAGAAGTTGAAACGGTAGATTTGACACCACAAACAAAAAGTTCAGAACCATTGTCAAAACCTGTCAAAGAACTTACAGATGAAGAGAAAAATTCAATAATAGAAAGTGCCAGGTCTGGAAATACAAACCCTAACTACAAAGTCACTTTTCATAAAAATGGAACGGCAAGTATCTCAAAAAAGAAACAGACTCTCACAAATAAAATATTGAAGTCGGAAGGAATTTTCGAGACAACAGATGGAAAAGTTTACTTCACTGACCAACAGTTCATTATAGAACATCTCATTGACTTAGAGTCGAAATATTCTAAACTTTACAACAAACACAAAAAGTTGAAAGGAAAACAGAAACAAATGGCATATGACATTTATGAAGATGTTGACGACACAACTGTTCCTGCAGGTGAGGTAAAGTCAGCCGAACCGAAAAGTGACGAAAAACAGATAGAAGAAGGGAAGCCAAAAACTGAAGATAAACCAAAACCAAAGGTTAGTTTCCAAACTAAACCAAGTCAACCTTCATTAGCTGGTATGGGTTGGCGTCAAAGACTTTTGGCAGCAGGTGGTTACGTAAAGTAAAAAAAACATTTTTTTATTTTTATAAAAAATGCCCCCGTATAGAATGGATAGAAGGTCTGCTAGAATAAAAGCAGAGTTAGAAAGATATGGTTGGAAAGTTTCAAAGAAGTTTAAATATAGGAAGGGAAGACCCATAAAAGTCTATGACAAACTGTCTGGTCTTCGCTACGAAATGGACTTGGAAACAGCACGCGCAAATTATCCAAACAGACTAGAGAGGTTAGAAGAAGAACGTCTTATGGACATGCCTTTCGATGTTAATGAACCGCAAGTTGAAGGACACGACGGCTTTGCCAGATTCTACTGGAAACATGACGAACAATTGCATCCTTTGAGAAGGAAAAAAGGAAAAGGTGAAGACGCACATGCTCCAATGGAAAGAACAAGATATGCATATGAAAAGTATCGTGAGGTTAGAAGTAAAATTACATCTGGTCGAACCTTTACAGTAAACTTTGACGATGGAAAGAACAAAGAAGGCTTCATGGGTGTACTTGCTGCAATTCAAGACGGAAATAAGAAAGGATACAATCTCAGACTAACCGTAACAGATTTAGATGGTCATATATACTATGCACATGGCAATGTCACAACAGCCACACAACTTCTTGACGCTTTCAAGACTACAAAGAGAGAACAAATGTTTGACTCCGACTCAGATATTTTGAATGCAATTGAAGGAATTGCAAGCGTGAAGTTCGAATGGTACCAACCTAACCCTCAAGCAGTCAGACAACATGCTGGATACTTCCCGTTCAGAAATAAGTCTGACATTGACTTAACAAGGTATGGAATTTACAATTCAATTGAAACAATTGTCAATGAACCTTGTTTCTTACATGTCTCAGGAACTCTGGTCTTGTTACAGATGAGAAGATGAAGTATCTTGAGTCATGTGTGAAGACAAGGTACATTCTCAGAGGTCAATTGGCAAAAATTGCACCGTTGGCAATGTCAATATCCGAGTCAACATACCTACAGCTCTAAAGGTTCTTCACATGACGACTATGTTGTTGAGTTCAATTTACCATGGTTGAAGATTGCAATTGTCCACAACCACTTCATGTTGAACGAAAGTCTTACAAACCCATTTTCGGAAAAGGCAAGTGCAACATTGTCAGAGCTGTAAAGCATTCTTTTCGAGAAAGGTTGTTGGAACCAATTCCAGATGACAAGCTGAACAGAAATTTGTACAAAAGACGAAACAAACTTTCAACTGTTAGCAAGACCAAAAGTTGTTCCAGACAAAGTTATAGTACAAAAGAAGTACACAATTCCAAAAGGAGTTGGATTGTTCGGATACCAACCTGAACCAGAAGAACTTCCAATGAGGTTGCAAGAACTTCAAGATGCTATAAACAAACTTCCATTGAGACATCCAATTGACGTCAAATTGTATTGGAGAGCATCTGAGTTAGGTCAGAAGGTTTTATATGAAACAGGTTGCTTCGACGATGTTTATGAGATAACAGGAGAAGTTTCTCAGAAGATAAGAGACTCACTTGAATTTCCACAAACTGGACCAATTGGTTGCGACAAGTTCGACTCAAACGAAAAAATATACTATGTCGACCTTAACGCTGCATACATGAGGTTTGTCCAATATATTCCGACTGGAATTCCAAACGAAGATGGTGAGTTCCCGGGAAGGAACTATACAGTTGGAAAAGTCATACAACAACTGTATGATATTAGGAAAGCTTCAAACCCCAAACTTGCAATGACACTCAAATTGCTTATGAATTCGACATGGGGATATTCCATTAAGAAACCTCAAGAGATGAAGAGTAAACATTATGAGAAGGTCGACAACTTTGTTGAAAGGTTTTCTCCTTTTGTTTTGAAGTACGAATTCACTCAAGGTCAAAGTGGCTTAGTAACCACATTAAAACCTATTGTCGAACATTGGTCTTACCCTCAGTTCGCAAAGGCAGTCCTTGACAACTACAATGAGTTCTTCTCCGATGTTAAATCGAAAGTGAAGGTATACTATGAGAACATTGACGCACTCATGACGAACGAAGAAGGATACAACAAACTCATTGAAATGGGTTTAGTCGGTGAAAAGATGGGTCAATTCAAATTGGACAAAATTTTCACCGAAGTTCATGTCCTCTCCAAGCGTAAGTATTGGGGTATACTTGAAGACGGCACAGAAATAAAACATTGCATGAAGTAAAAAAATTTTTATTCGAATTTGAATTTAAATGTGGGGAATTCTTGGTCTCAAACTCATATATAACCTGTTTGTCTGTATTTTCGTCGACTATGGCACGAGACACAAACATTGACCAAACGGACAAAAAGTGTCATTTCAGATGGCCAAGCAGCCAATCGCATTCGAGCACTTCGAAGAAGCCTTACGTTCCAAGGGAGAGGGTGTCTGGTGCAAGGCAGAGGTCATGAGACTCTACGAGCAGTACATCCTCAATGCCTGGGAGGACAAATCGTCCTTGGATTGGCAATTCTACCAACTCCTCTGGGACGACCTCCTACGCAACTGGGATGACGAAAGAGTTCAATTCAGAGGTCAGGAACTACTTATCCAAATTATCCGTAATTTAAGCTACTTATCTAAATAAAAACTTAAATTTACTTGGGGTTTCCCCCTAAAATAAAATTTTTTACTCTTAGAACCACTCGAGGTTCTCCTTACGGTTGTTGAGCTTGTCACCGTCAATGTGTCTGACCTTCGTCTTCTTGTTTGGATTTGGAACCCATTGCATACCGACAAGCCTTCCCATGGAAATTGTACCGTAATTCCGAAGGGTAAGGCTCAAGTGTCCCAAGTTGTTGAGGACTGGGGTAAGAACCTTGCCTGTCTCCTTGTTGCGGATTTTGTATGGGTAGGGTTGGGAAATTTCATAACCGTCATCCGCAACAAGGGTTGCCCAAACTTCCTTTTCTTCGTGTTTCTCTTCTTCTTCCTCTTCTTCTTCGTGTTTCTCTTCTTCCTCGAAAATTCCTTCTTCAATTTGGTACTCACGAAGTACGGTGTTGCATGTTCTGTCCTTTCCGAGTACCTTCCAGATGGCGTCTATCTCTTCGAAGAAACGGTAGATGAGTCTGGCAAGGTTTTGGTTCTCTATGTTGTATTGGCGCAAGGTTTCCGCGAAATCGTTCAGGACTTTCTTATTGGAAGCTTGGTTCGTGAGGACTTCGACTTTGAGATTGGTTATCTCTTCCATAAGACTACATTGGATAGTCTTAATGGTGGTTGTCAGATGAGCGTTCAATTGGGCAATTTGAATTTGAACTGGGCGCTTGTCTGGCAACCTTGAAAGGACATCTGCCATTGAGTTTGGCTTCGGTGCTTGTTCGGACATCGAAAAAATGAAGTGGTTTGAGAATGACGGTTTTACTTCAAAAAGCTTGTTATGACGGTTAAGTCATACAACAAGTTTAAAATAATATCTTGTTCTTCTTCTGAACGTTTGTTGTCTCTTCGATAAAAGTTTCGAACATGAGAACCAAAAAACGTTTTTTGAGATTGCGGAAGAGTTCAGGCAAACGTTCATATTCTGGATATGTTGGGAGCAGTTCGAAACATCTGAGCTGACTTTCGGACAAAATTGGACAATGTCAACAAATTCATCTTTGGTCGGATTGCTTGAAGGTAAGTCCCTTACATGTAAGTAGCTCTGGTAAAGTCTTCTCATTTCTGCTAACTTTTGGAGTATAGCTTCGTAGTTTAGAAGTTTTAATTTTAATTGTCTTATTCCACTCTTGACATCTAAACGGTAACTATCCATGAGGTCAAGAGTAGCTTTGGTAGCTTTAAGTGGAGCTATCTGTTCCTTGACCTCTGCAATTTTGGTTGCAATTGTGATTTGAGCTCCTTCAAGTTCGCCGTCTATGTTGTTCTCAACGTCTTCAACCATGGCTTGAAACTCTTCATCGGTCCATTGAGATTGGTGTGGGACGAATTTAACTTGCTTCATTCAAAAAATGAAAAAAAAAATGTTTTTACTCAAAACGTTAAGGTTGACTGAACTGGTTGGATGTCGCCTTCACAGGTTATGTAGAACGGCTGACCCGAGAAGTGAAGGAGAGACTGAATTGCCAATTTCATATGGGGTAGGGGGTTCTCCTTGTTTGGTATTTTTATCCAAGGACGTTTGTTTAGGAACTTAACAAGAGTTTCTCTTTTGGCGTCCTTTATGTCGTCGAAAGGAGTGTTTTCTGGTATTTGAATTGGAATTCCAGTCGAAGTCTCGAGATTCAAGGCAGCCCTTCCAGAAATAGCGGTGAACTTGACCTTGGGCTTCATTACCCTGCGCAAGTACTGCTTAACAACTTCATTTATCTCTATAAGGTAAATTGCCTCGTCAAATCCTTCTGGCATTCCGAGTCCTTCCATCCGACAGGAAAATATTTTCCCGACAACTGGAAAAAATTTTCCGGACAAAGGGAAAAATTTTTCCTTCCGACAGGAAGAACTCTTCCAGTTGTCCGTCCGTAAACCATTCAAATTTTCGAAAATTGAGAACTTTTTGGTCGAACTTCAGAAAAAGTTTTTCCTTCCGACAGAAAAAGTTTTTCCTTCCGACAGAAAAAGTTTTTCCTTCCGACAGGACACAAACGGATGACTGACGTTCCTCTTCCTGAATGCCTTCCAAAGCCAGAAGAACCGACAGCCCCAGCACCACAACAGTCTCCTCAGCAACCTCAGTTCCAGCAAGTACCTCCGATTTACTACCAATTTCCACCTCAAGGTTACTACCCACCACAAGGCTTCCCGAACTACCCTCCTCAGCCTATGCCTTACTTCCCCAACCCTTGGATGTTCCAACAAGCTCCACCCCAGCAATTCCAATCTCAATCCAAATCGAAGAGAGACCAAGAGTTCGAAGAAGGTCTGAACCGCTTACGCAAAGATTATGCCACAGCCCCTATGGAAGACGACAGGCTTTCAGTCTCTTCCTCAAATCGACCGATTCGACTCGTACCACAGATTCGGTTCGTGACCGTGAAGACTACCTCAAGCAGTCTGAGAGACTCTTCATCCTACAATCATTTACAGTTGGAGCTCTCAAGAACATGCGCAATTACGAAGGTCAGACACCAGCTGGAGACCGCAAAACAGACGTACTCGCAAGAGCCGTCCAGCTCGTCAAAACAAAGACTGAGATAGTCGACTTCATTCTTGCAGCTTGCCCATACAAGTAAAAAAATAAACAATTACGAGTTAAACTTTTTACTCTTTCTTTTCTGAGTTGTTTAGAGCTGGTTTCTCTTGTAGAAACCTTTCGTACTCTCCATGGTCATGTAATTGCGAATTTGGTACGCAATTCCAGGTTCGTTGTTTTTGAACCTTACGTATGTAACGCTTCCATCCTCCTCAGGGAAGTAAGCTGCTAACATCTGACCAAGTTTTCTCGGTGACTCGGAGCTCATAAAAATGTCACTTTTTAAACGTTAAGTTTTTAGTCTTATTTTACCCTTTGTTTACCCTTTGTTTACCCTTTGTTTGTCAAGGTAGTATTGGAGTGCAATTTCTCCAAATTCTCTGTGTCGGAGTTCTTCAGCATTTTCCAAGGTGTTCCTGGAGAACTCAAAGAAGTTGTCAAGAACATACTGCCATGCTGCTCTTCGTAGTTCGTCGGTATTTTGGAAGTGTTGCACCTTCGAGTCTTCGGACATGAAAAAATGACACTTTTTCTATTAAACCGTTTTGGCATTTCTCATGAGTGAGTATAGTTCTCCCGAACCATTGGAAGAGAAGAAGTACCCTTGCTGGCAAAAGACAAAAATAGTTGCCTTAGTTGTCATTGCAATTGTACTCGTAATTGAATTCATTGTACTTCTCTTCACGTACATAAAACTCAGCAATGGTATTTGCTTTAAGAAGCTACCATCTTACTAAGACTAAACACTTACATTTTTCAAGGTTGACTTTTTACAATTTGAATTTTGTTGCTGAATTCAGCAAAAATATAATTTAGGGTAGAAGGTTAGATCTAACCTCTTTTCTAACCTCTTTTCTAACCTCATGAATTTTCATGAATTTTACACCAAAAATAATGTTTAGGGTAGAAGGTTAGATCTAACCTCTTTTCTAACCTCTTTTCTAACCTCATGAATTTTCATGAATTTTCCCGAAATAAAAAATAAAACTAACTTTATTTTTTTATTTTTTTTATTTTGTATAAAAGATATGATTTCAACAATCGGCACAACAACAATTCAAACAACAACAGCACCAAACTCGTTAGTTATGAATCCAACATCTATGTTAGTAGAGATGAAAAGCTTCATTCCTTCTTCATATACTTTCGAAACAGAAATCCAGAAGATAAAGCAGGAACTGTTAACAGGTAGTTTAGACTGTAGTGCGAAAGATGAAACAAATGAACAGTATCTTTATGACATGCAGGATATTATTGACCATTTACCCAAATTGCCTGAAATCCAACAGCAAAAACTAACTATTCCTGAATTTGACGAAATAGAAGTCAAAGCAACTGACTCGGTAGAAATAAAGAAGTTCATACGTAAGGTAAATTATGAATTCCTTGGTTTTCATTGCAACCATAAAGTTATGGACAAAGATTGCGACATGGTATATAAGAACATCTCTGACATATATAAATCCGGGGAGTTTAAGACCTACGACAACTTTGTTTCATTAGCTGCAAAATGTGTATGGCAGATAAGAGATAAAGACAGAAGAGGTAAGGTATGGAATGAACAGATAAAACCAACTGCTTCAGATTTAAAGAAAGCCATTGACGCTTTAGTTGTTTTAGCAGGTAAGGTTTCAGAATATAACGCAAAAATGAACCCACAATGTTCTAAATGTAAAGCAGCAATGAGGAAATATAACTACTCCGTCAAAGAGATAGAACGTATGAGAAACGACTATGCAGACTTAAAGAAAGAAGCAGAAAAGCCAGCAGAAGATAAAATGAACATGTTAGAATTTCTGAACAAAAACTATCCAACAGCAGAAGATTTCCTTCTATCTGACGTCAAGAAGAAGTATAAAGAAACTTTCGGTATCGTTAAAACATTCGATGTACTGACAGAAGAAATAGAAGCTACGAAACTGTTTAGAGTCTCACGAATTCATAACGTTTACCATGTGAAACGCTTATAAAATAACTGGGGTAGAAAAGAGGTTAGAAAAGAGGTTAGATCTAACCTTCTACCCTAAACATTATTTTTGCTGAATTCAGCAACAAAATTCTGAGTAAAATAATTTTTAGGGCATGTGTCAAACCGTTGAGTTTTCACAAATTTTAAAAAATAACGTTTACCATGTAAAACGCTTATAAAATAACTGGGGTAGAAAAGAGGTTAGAAAAGAGGTTAGATCTAACCTTCTACCCTAAACATTATTTTTATTGAAAAATGACCAAAATTCTGAGTAAAATGGCATAAGATTGCTTCCCTCGGAAAACCGAGAGAAGAGATTCCGTATGAAAATCGTGAAATTTCTCTAGACCGACTTTTACCGGCCTTGCCTAAAACTCATGAAAATCGTGAAGCACAGCGAGTAGGGAAGAAACCCCAGTCGCCAAAACTCTATGAAAACAGTGAAGAACAGCGAGTAGGGAAGAAACCCCAGTCGCCAAAACTCTATGAAAACAGTGAAAAATAACAGAGTATTTTGACAACTTCAAACAAGTAGAGTAAATGAACTCTTTATTTTTCAAGCTTGACTTTTTACAATTTGAACTTTGTTTGCGTAGATATGAATTCTGAAAGAAGTATGAGGGTCTTGTATGACTTTGTACTTCTCCCATAGTTCATGTCTGTCAAACTTACCTGCCATGGACTCTTTCATAAGTTCCATGAAATCGTCTTCGGACAATCCGGGGAAAAGTATTATGTCAGTAAGTATTCTTTTAACATCCTTACTTAAACTCTTTGCTGTCTGTACACAAATGACAACTGAGATGTTAAAGTGTCTGAGCTTCTTAAGAATTCGACACATGTCTTGTTCTCTATTCTTTAACAAAGGATGAGAAGCAAAGTCATCTAAGATAAGAAGACATCTATGAGGGTAAGTCTTCCAATCGTAAGATTGCAATTTCTTCGAAATGTATTCTATCTCTTTCTGTTTGTTTCTGAAGTGTTTCTTCTCTAATATTCTCTGCATTTCCTCATTTGTGTTTTGAACTTATAATTTATATACTCATTTATAGCATTATACTTCAAAACTTTCTTTGGTACTTCTTTATCCAATCTAACAACTCATATCCTTTATACATACTAACTTAGACTTCTTTATAATATCTTTGAACGAATTGACGGTTTGGTCAAATTGACAAGTACTAAAATAACAACTAACTCATAGAATGGGTTCTTCTCATCTAGTTCTTGTTGTTGTGCAGCCATTTTAAGATAAGTGAAAGTCTTACCCGACCCAGGTGGTGCAATTAGACCTGTTATACCATTCTGAGCAAATAAGAACTTGTCATGTATAGGCTTTATCTGAGCATTTTCTAACTTTCTCTTGTTCTTATTTAAAACATCTCAAATTTCTTGTCAATGTCAGCAAACTTTTTTTCTAACATATTTTTAGAAAAATTAAAATTTTTATCTTTTAGAAAATGTCTAGCGATTTCGCTATCTATATTCGAGACAAGCTTTCGACAGCAAAACATCTGTCGACCATAAAATCTTACATAGTGTAAACAAGAAAGGTGAATTGTTCTAAAGTTCTGTTTCTGGGAATATGACAAGAACCATAAAACATTAAGCAGAGCAGTCTTAAAATTTGTCAATGACAGACTTGTTGACAGAGATGACGCCTCTTGGAGAGATGAAGTCCAACAAAAACTTCTTAGAATGCAAAGAAGACACATGCGCTGTTCTTGAAAAATGAAATAGAAAACAGAATAGAAGAGCTATTAAATGACAAAGCACTTTTACAAAAATATGGTTCTGAGAAGTTTGACATAACTCCACCAGAGAAGAAGAAGAGAGAAAAGAAAGAAAAGAAAGTAGAAGAAGAGAAGAAAGAACCAGAGCCAGAGCCAGTTCCACCGAAGAAGAAATTTGACATGTAAAAATAAAATTTTATTTTTAGAACATTTCTGGGTCAATGTCAATGTTCTCTTCCTCTTTAGGAGCAAACACTGGCTTAGACTCTAAAATCTTTTTACCCAATTTACCTTGAACTTCAACTATCTTAGACTCATAATATTCATAGTCGTCTGCTTTCTTTGGTTCATAAGGTATAACAAGTTTGTATGCTTTGCCTTCTTTAAGGTTTGAGAACCTTCTGTCAAACTTTCTTTACTGACTGTTAACAAACCTTCTATGTCTAAGTCTTCAAATTTCGCACCATTTTTAGTCACAATAGCAAACTTAACTGGTTCGATGTTCCAAACTTTGTCAAATGTAGACTTTTCAAAATGGTAGAAGTAAACATTCAAATATGTGAATGGGTCTAGTTCTTCTTTAAGTCCTGACATGTACTTGTTTACTGAGATGAATTTTGCCATCTTTTCTATCGGATAAAAAAATATTTTTTTTAAATTTACTCATAAAAATTTTTCTTTGTATATACACCATTCTGTACGTCTAAAAGACTTTTGACATTTGCCAAGAATGTTCGTTTAGACGCTGTCATATAACCATATTCTTGACAATACTGTTTATACGAATCGTACAATGACCTTTCATCTAAACACTCAAAGTTAGTCTCATCTATAAACAGTTCATATACACTCTTGTTTGCTTCTAACAATGTTTGTCTCTCTTCGGTATGTGGAATTTGTCTTGGATTGAACTTTGAAATATCTAATGTCATGAAATATGAGAACAAGTGGTTGTAAAAGTCAGGTGTCAAAGTTTCTGCTAAGTCGTCAAAATATTCTGTATCTTGCATATGAGCTTCTGACGTTCTGACAACTACATATCTTCTGTCAGAACTTTCTAACTTCATCGGAACAGCATTGTTTGAAACCATAATGAAATTTGCAACATTTTCACAAACTCTTTGGTCTTTATATTTTCTTTCAACAACTCCAACTTTGTCTGTTATAAGACTCTTCAAAGCATCTGAGTTCAAAACTTTTGTTGTATCTATACTTTGAAGTTCGTTACATACTATAAGTTTCATATTCTCTATTGAAGAGTTAAATTTACCGCAGATGTTTTCTAAGTTTGTCATATTCGGGTTCGAATAGCCTTCTAACAGTTTGCACAAAATATCTGTAAAGAAAGTGTTCTTACCAGTTCCTTGTTTTCCAATTACAATGAGAGCAGTTTCATTTTTAGCACTTGGATGTTGTAAGATGTTTGCAAACCAACATAAGATATACTCATAGACTCTTTCGTTTCCATTGCATATAATTTCTTTGACATGGTCTAACCAAGCTTCTATAACATTTTCTTTCCATTCTACTTGTTCGTATTTATATCCAGTGAAGATAGAATAGAAGTTTGGAGAAGGTGTATAGAACTTTATACCACGAACTGAAAAATCTTCTAACTTTGACAATAAGATATCCCAAGCATCTAACATCTTCATGCCAACTTGTACGACTTTTATTTTCTTAAGTTTCTGTTTACATTCTTGTTCTGAAACTATTGTCGCTTTAGGTTTGTTAAAGACTACATCCCATTCTTTCATACATAACATTCTGGGGCAGAGTCGACATAAATGACTAAACGTTTCAAATTCTCGACTGCTTTGTTATAGTCTCGAAATGGACACATATTTCTGAAGGCTTGGAAGTCATAAAAATCTGAAACGTCTATTCTGTACATTTTTTATAAAAATAAAAAAAATATTTTTTTTATTCTTGAGCTATTTGTTGTTCTTGAGCTATTTGTTGCATTTGTTGTTCTTGAGCTATTTGTTGTTGAAGTTGTTCTTGTAGTACAATACTTTCACAGTTGCATCTTCCAATTCGAAACTTTCTGCCGTCATTGACAAATACATAGGACATAAAAGTTTTACAGGAACAAAGTTTGCGTCAACTAAGGTTAAGTTTATGTTTGCTAAAGTGTTTGAGTTACTAAAGCTGAAAACTCTGCATTCGAATGAACAATAGGCAAACCAGCAGAGAATGTTTATTTATACGCATGAGTATCTTTTGGTCATAGTAGTTTCTGTCGACATTCGAATAACACTTTGAACCTAAGTTTGAAACAATATATAAAATAGGTGTACTTAAAGTCAATGGAACAGACACCTTGTATGACACCTTTTCCTGTTATAGGAAACTGTTGGTAGTAAAAACCAGATATAAGTTTTGTATTATAGCTCATATCGTTTATACTAAACTCAGTCGGACATCCAAACATAATGAAACCTGCTCTAGTTGCAGCACATGTTACACCCGTCCTTAAAGTATTAAATAAGTCAACAAAACCTGTTGGTGGTATATCTGAGTAAGTATCTTCAAAGGAGTATTTTTTACCATTCACAACAATAAAAGTCTTCTGGTGTCAAAAGAGCAAAACAGGCTTTAGTCGTCATCGTGTTTAAGGTCAGTTTACAATATCGTCCTTGAGGACTTTGTAAGTTTGTTGTTATAGAATTATATGACTCAGGGTTTTTAGTCGTAATAGTATAAACCATTATATCTTCTGCCATTTATATATATTAAAAGTTTTTCTGAAAGTGGAGAAGAACTTCATCTAAACTTTCACATGGCGTTTCTTGAAGTTCTCTGTCTAAGAAGTTCAAATATTTTGTAAAGACATAGAACTTTCCTTTGTCTACACGAACAAACAAAACAGGGTCTTTCATATCGTTCAAAAGTGTGTAAAGTCCTTTACATGAAATAAAGTCTATATTTTTTTCTTCAAAACATCTTTCAAGAAGTTTTGACATTTTTACTTAGCAAGTAAATTTTAATGAAATGTTGTGGTCGTCAAATATTTTTATGACGTCTGGGAACTATATTTTAAGTTCAACGTTTCACCTCCTTTCATAACGTATATCTTGTCAATGACATTATATGAAACACCACAGCAAGCAATGTCGGGTTCTATTTCTTTGATGTTTATATCGTCTGCCTCTGTCAAAAGTTTCAATAGTTTCTTTCAAATTTCATGAGGTGCGATGACATATGAGTTCACTTTTACAGGGTTGTGCTCAACCAAGTTTAACATTAGACCTAAAGCTTGACAAATCTTCTCCTGAGTTTTAAGTTTCTTTAAGTTGTTGTAGTCGTTTCGAATATCTGCAACAGAACTTAAGTCTCTGCTAACTTCAGGATATGTTGGTTTCTTTTACAGGAACTATTGTTATACCATCTTCGTCTTCGTATGGTTTCCCCACTTCAACATCTCTTCTTTGACATTGACAACAACACTTTGACTGTTTGTTTGAGTTGGTGAATTTAACTTCACATCTGCCACGCCATTAAACCTTTTGAAACACTTACGCTTCTATTTTTCGGAAATGACATTTACTTAGAATAAAAAGATGGACGTATTTGAGTATCTCTTCGAATTGAAGCAAACAAAGTTTACACACACAAACAATACAAGTTCATTGACAGAGTAGTTCTTTCTTTACACAAACAATGGAAAATGTTATAGAATAGCAGTCTTTGCTGAACCAAAATATTTTCATAAAGCAAAGAAAGTTGGTATAACCGAGATGGTGAAAGTTCTTGACGTTGACAAAAATATAACACAAAACTGACATATTCTAAAGGTAAGTTTTTAATACAATATTATATTAAAACTGGCGTACTGTCAATATTTGACGAGAGAAGTCAGTTCAAGAACAACTCATAGAATGGGTTCTTCTCATCTAGTTCTTGTTGTTGTGCAGCCATTTTAAGATAAGTGAAAGTCTTACCCGACCCAGGTGGTGCATTAGACCTGTTATACCATTCTGAGCAAAATAAGAACTTGTCATGTATGGGTTTATCTGAGCATTTTTTCTAACTTCTCTTGTTCTTATTTAAAACATTCTCAAATTTCTTGTCAATGTCAGCAAACTTTTTTTCTAACATATTTTTTAGAAAAATTAAAATTTTTATCTTTTAGGAAAATGTCTAGCGATTTCGCTATCTATATTCGAGACAAGCTTTTCGACAGCAAAACATCTGTCGACCATAAAATCTTACATAGTGTAAACAAGAAAAGGTGAATTTGTTCTAAAGTTCTGTTTCTGGGAATATGACAAGAACCATAAAACATTAAGCAGAGAGTCTTAAAATTTGTCAATGACAGACTTGTTGACAGAGATGACGCCTCTTGGAGAGATGAAGTCCAACAAAACTTCTTAGAATGCAAAGAAGACACATGCGCTGTTCTTGAAAATGAAATAGAAAACAGAATAGAAGAGCTATTAAATGACAAAGCACTTTTACAAAAATATGGTTCTGTGAAGTTTGACATAACTCCACCAGAGAAGAAGAAGAGAGAAAAGAAAGAAAAGAAAGTAGAAGAAGAGAAGAAAGAACCAGAGCCAGAGAAGGGAGAATTTGACATGTAAAAATAAAATTTTATTTTTAGAACATTTCTGGGTCAATGTCAATGTTCTCTTCCTCTTTAGGAGCAAACACTGGCTTAGACTCTAAAATCTTTTTACCCAATTTACCTTGAACTTCAACTATCTTAGACTCATAATATTCATAGTCGTCTTTCTTTGGTTCATAAGGTATAACAAGTTTGTATGCTTTGCCTTCTTTAAGGTTTGAGAACCTTCTGTCAAAACTTTCTTTGACTGTTAACAAACCTTCTATGTCTAAGTCTTCAAATTTCGCACCATTTTTAGTCACAATAGCAAACTTAACTGGTTCGATGTTCCAAACTTTGTCAAATGTAGACTTTTCAAAATGGTAGAAGTAAACATTCAATATGTGAAATGGGTCTAGTTCTTCTTTAAGTCCTGACATGTACTTGTTTACTGAGATGAATTTCGTCATCTTTTCTATCGGATAAAAAATATTTTTTTAAAATTTACTCAGAAAAATTTTTCTTTGTATATACACCATTCTGAACATCTAAAAGACTTTTGACATTTGCCAAGAATGTTCGTTTAGACGCTGTCATATAACCATACTCTTGACAATACTGTTTATACGAATCGTACAATGACCTTTCATCTAAACACTCAAAGTCAGTCTCATTCTATAAAACAGTTCATATACACTCTTGTTTGCTTCTAACAATGTTTGTCTCTCTTCGGTATGTGGAATTTGTCTTGGATTGAACTTTGAAATATCTAATGTCATGAAATATAGAACAAAGTGGTTGTAAAAAGTCAGATGTCAAAGTTTCTGCTAAGTCGTCAAAATATTCTGTATCTTGCATATGAGCTTCTGACGTTCTGACAACTACATATCTTCTGTCAGAACTTTCTAACTTCATCGGAACAGCATTGTTTGAAACCATAATGAAGTTTGCAACATTTTCACAAACTCTTTGGTCTCTTATATTTTCTTTCAACAACTACAACTTTGTCTGTTATAAGACTCTTCAAAGCATCTGAGTTTAAAACTTTGTTGTATCTATACTTTGAAGTTCGTTACATACTATAAGTTTCATATTCTCTATTGAAGAGTTAAATTTACCGCAGATGTTTTTCTAAGTTTGTCATATTCGGGTTCGAATAGCCTCTAACAGTTTGCATAAAATATCTGTAAAGAAAGTGTTCTTACCAGTTCCTTGTTTTCCAATTACAATGAGAGCAGTTTCATTTTTAGCACTTGGATGTTGTAAGATGTTTGCAAACCAACATAAGATATACTCATAGACTCTTTCGTTTCCATTGCATATAATTTCTTTGACATGGTCTAACCAAGCTTCTATAACATTTTCTTTTCCATTCTACTTGTTCGTATTATATCCAGTGAAGATAGAATAGAAGTTTGGAGAAGGTGTATAGAACTTTATACCACGAACTGAAAAATCTTCTAACTTTGACAATAAGATATCCCAAGCATCTAACATCTTCATGCCAACTTGTACGACTTTTATTTTCTTAAGTTTCTGTTTACATTCTTGTTCTGAAACTATTGTCGCTTTAGGTTTGTTAAAGACTACATCCCATTCTTTCATACAATAACATTCTGGGGCAGAGTCGACATAAATGACTAAACGTTTCAAATTCTCGACTGCTTTGTTATAGTCTCGAAATGGACACATATTTCTGAAGGCTTGGAAGTCATAAAAATCTGAAACGTCTATTCTGTACATTTT